AGTGCTTGCAGAGAGTGGAGGTCGAACACACGCCTGACCTCTAGAGAAAACACATGGAAAGATTTTAAATGTTGTGACATGGCTTCTTAGTGTTGGGAGTGGTGCTTTGGATACCGAAGACTGCGCAATGACCCGTCCAATTGCCCCATAAATGGGGCCAGTCTTATCCATGTTGGTGTGCTAAATCTCCAGAAGTGTCAGTGGGTCTTTCCATACTGTTTAGACTAGAAAATGAAATGCACAAGGTGAAACAGTTGACTGAAAGCATCAGATCTACACAGTATTTAATAACAATTTAAAATGGTTAAGAGAGCAAAGAATTTCAAACTTTTTTTTAACTCAATGTGGCTCTAAAGCCAGGTTCAGACTACACAATATCTCACAAATTTTGGCACGATCCCTTTGAGGTAGGTTGTCGTGTTTAATTGTATACGGCAATGCACGTTGGGTGCAAGAATCAATTGTTTATAGTGTGTCATAGCAGACGACAACAGCATGTTTCACTACGTTGTGACAGAAAGACTAGCATGTTTCATTTTTTTCCTGGTACTCTACGACGGGTTCGGTCACATCTGTGGCAGATGTGGCACAGGAGGAGCACAGAAGCTCTTCCATATACACAGCTGTCAAACATGGTGAAGTGAAAGAGATGATGATATTGGTGCGGGTGTGGGTGGAATTATACAATGGATGAATTGAGCTATAGCAACAATATTCCTGCTTTTATGGCTACGATCAAACTGTCAGTCCAAATCTGGTTTTTGTGCACATTCGATTGAAATCCGATCAGACAGGGACGGACTGGGACCAAAAAACTGCCCTAGACTTTGACTAAAAGCAATCGGTGCATGGAAACTCAACAAAAACAAACCACAACTGTCGCCTGTCATGAGTTTCACAGTAAAAGCACAACATATTTCTTAATATTAGCTACTGCATGTGGCATTTTACAGCTAAAATGTTGAAACTACTGTAAAAGTTGAAACTACTGTAATCATTTAAAATGTAACAAGCTGAATATCACTTCCTAACATCATACCTACCAAGTAACTTGCAAAGTAATTTTCTGATTAATTCGGTTCAGGAGTAGTACAGATAAAAGCCCGCCCGCACTAACAATTGATTGGTTGGGTCCTTACCAAGGGGGTAATCCATCAGCCGGAAGATGCAGGCTCCCGGGAGCCACCATTGTAGCAGAACTTCACCTGCTGTTAGCATCCCATTGAGTCCCATTCATTTTGGCGACAGCGAATAACTTTACATCTGAGGCGGCCGAATACTTAATTTGTCCATTATTTATATTATTCTTACTTCTATTCATACTTCTATTCTATTTCTAAAGAAACACGACATTGTATAAAACGCTCCATTACTTTGTATCTTACGTTATGGCCCCGTAGATGCCGTTTTTGTGAAAAATAGGCTAACGATTGCGTCATCACTACGCAACTTTCTGTGGCACAATAGAGACATTACCCTATGAGGCAATTGGGGGGGCATGGAGGCATAAAGTCAAGGAAGAAGCCTTTTACTGTCTACGGGAGAAGCCCATAGATAGAGAGTCAATAAAAGCAATGGGACAAAATATTTCAACAACGTTTTGGCTTGGCACAGCTACTAGAAGGTTTACAACTGTCAGACTGTCATCAAGCTCAGTTTGAGCCAAGCGTCAACATGAAAAATGAAGCCTAGCCGGAAGTGCGAAAAACTGCAATACATCTAAAATCTGCTAGAGGGAGGTCCCAAAAGGGAGCAAATAAAACTATGAACACATCTTCCTTTTTTAAGAATGATTTTTTTGTTCAAGTCCAAGTCTTCAAGAGTCGCGGTCAAAGACGATTTGAAAAGCCGCTGTTCACCAGCAGAAGCAGCCATTCTTTTTTTTCAGGTAGCGGGGAACCGTCCCAACTCTGTTGTCATTATGTTAAGCCCGCCTGCCGACTCTATACATGATGTGATTGGCCTGACTAGAGTTTGGTTTTTCCAGCTCGAAAACCAACGGAGAGTTGCTAAACTGGCTGCAAAATAAAATATCTGCCGCTAGGGTGCATCTAGATTTCTAGGCTAGACGTTTTTTGGCATTTGCCTGCCAATGCAATGTAATTTCTATAAAAAACAATGCAGATATTCCAGAAAATGAAAGAGCGGCATCACACAAAAATGAGTAACCCACTTCTAGCCTAAATAACCTTGAATTTGCCAAAAAAACTTGCGAGATGTATGATATTCCATCATGTAAGCAAAGTCAACAGCGATTACATGGTGTTTGGTTTCATTTCTTTGACATGTTCCATGCATAGCCTGTGCGTCTATTCCTGGGCTATGGTTAGACGTCTTTTAATGCAAAATTGTTTGCTGGGTTGTTACAGACAAAAATACTGTGTAGTCTGAACCCGAAATAAGACAAGATATTTCACTATATTTCACTGACTAAATGTATCTTAATGGCAGGACATGTTGAGTAAATTAAACAGGATGTTTGTGAGAAAACCTGTATGTAACATGCGTTGAAAATAAGCCAGATTTCAATGTAAATGACAGGTTTTAGGATTCCATTCATACGCTGTCATCAGTCTAATGTCTGGTGCAGAGAGATTGTTTGGCCTTCAAAGACAGCGAGTCGTTTGAAGGGTGAAAACAGTCCTCTTATTGATGTTATGGAGATTAAGGGTTACGATGCACTTTGTAGAATAAATGTAAGCTTTTAGCATGAGTCACAAAAATCACAGGTTTACACTGCATCTATTTGTGTTAACCTATTTCTGCATTCACCTGAAAATCACCACTGCCATCTGCACAGGTCTATTGTGGACTCTGCAGGTTTACTTACTGCCTTAGGTTGTTCAATTATGCCTGCCTTTCCTCGCAAGAATAATTAACTCATTTAATAAACACATTGCAAACAAAATCGTAATCTAACATGTGCATATATTCATCTCACATTGAAATGAGAACATGCTCCATTTCTTCGGTTAGGTGTTATTATAATTGCTAAAGGACATATGTGTGTAAGTTTAGCTATAAAATCTTAATTAAAATGGCCAAATGTTGACTGATCAGTATGGATTATGTATAATGGTCCATTACTAGGAAAAATGTATTGCATTTATTTGACAAACTGCTGTTATGCAATGCTTTTTGAAAGAACACATTGCTTGAAATCAGGTTGACTAGTATAATGCAGTATCATTGAAAGTTACATTTTCTATATTTGTCTGGCACTCAACTATCACTTCTCGAGATCTACTGCCAAATGAAGAAAGGAATAGCCCTCATAGTATTGTAAAGTGATCAGCGACGACTACTCAAATCAATCACTTAAGGGATTATGTGTTGGCACATTAGGGAATGGGGTCAAAGGGGAATGAGGTTCTGGCCAAAAAGAATCCATAATCTCCCTGAGTTTTACAGCTGCTCAGAAACCAGTGGGATTTGTTGAGGAGAGACATATTGAAATGCTCCCCAAGTTGTCTCATAAAAAACCCAATTTCAACGATAAGAAAAGATTTGCGTTTCTGAATAGAACTAAATATTTACAGTCTATACACTTTGTTAAAAACGTATTTTGTTAGTACAAGAAAATATTCTGCTAGACAAGTCTAGGTTTGGAGACTAAATGCACGACTTGACACTGACAGTATACAAAGTTTGACTACACAATGGTCATTGAGCCATACCAATGCATTAAAAAGCACTATTTACATGAGAATACATGGGAAAGTTAATTTCAGAGCCATTGCTATCAAACATCACTATAAAATGACACTAATAGACATGCGCTTAAAAGCCCAGTTAACTAAACAATTTACATCATTCCCTTAAAAAGTATAACAAAAAGAAAGGTTTGGGTCTTGCAAAAGAGATTTCCAAATGAGGATTGGAAAGTTCTACAGAAACAATCTGGGAAAATCTGTGCTTGAGTTAAACAAGCATGTTTAATCAGGACCGATCCCAGACCTCAGATTTTCAGACAAGTTTTATTTTCTTCACAGATGATGCCATGGTTTTCTGCTTATTCCACTGCAGCAAGAGTTTGCAAGTGAAAGACATTGAGCATGATTAATGAAAAATTGGCACTTTTGTTAAACATGAAATGAAGCTGGCAATGCTTATTTCAAAGATCAGGATTTAATGTCAAGGTGGTAACAGCAACCTGGCTTACATGTACAAAACAAGAGGAGTACAAAGGTTAAGTATCAGAGTATTGAGTCACTTTCTTTAAAGTGGGCTGTCTTAAAGCAAATTCGCCAATCACCAATTTTCTGGCAGCAAGTGATTTCAACAACAAGGGACTTTTCCCCCAATTGCAGAATCAGTGCCTCTTCCCAGAAGATAAAGTTCTCAAGTTGTGCAAGACTAAGATTCTTGTGATGCTTATGTGAATTAGCTGGTGGTCTGGCACTGTTTCTAAACCATTGCTGTTTTCTGATCAACTGCAGTCTATGTGTTTAGGACGTTTACCCACATTTAAAAACTCAAGGCATGGATTCTTTTCCCTGTGCTTGACCTCACTGTATACAAAGGAGTGTCACAAAGGAATGTGCTTGGTAACAGTGTTCTCTGTCAACAGCACAGTTAGTGTGGATAAGAGTTAAAGGTCTGTGTTTGGTTAACCGTCAGCATGCAAAACAGAGCATGTTTGACAGCCGTTACACTAAAAATGCCTTAGAGTCATCAACAAATTCTTTTAAGAGTAATAGTTGTGCCGTAAAATAGCCTCGTAGGGTAATTCAGCACAGCAGACCCATGTGGCGTCCTTCAAACCCCTACACAATGCAGGGTATTACTTTTTTTTAAACAATGCCTAGAGCTCCTTTGCAGTCTTTTTGTCATTTTTTTTTTTTTTTTGCAATAGAGGACATCCTGCTCCTACACTGAACCCATATGATTTTACCTTGTCACAATTGAGCAAGCTCACTGTACCGAGGTAACTTATCTGTCACAGGAGAGGGCACTGCATCTGCGAGTCCTCACTGTTATCAGCGGTGGCTTCCTGGTATGCGTAATGACTGTTTGCAGGCTGGGTTGGGGGGGGTTGGCTATTCTGCAGAGCAGTTCTGCTGACTGCAGTAGAGAGGAACTACCTCAGTGCGTCAGCACTCTGAAATGAATGAAGAAAAAAACGAATCAATCATAGTGACTGCAGAGAGAGAAGAGTCAACACACTTTCTAAACCTGATCTTTTGTGTAGCTGTCCTCACATGCGCTAGTGGCTGGAAGCACGCGCTCTGTAAGATGGTAAGTCCTTTCTGAGCTTGGTGTCTGTAGGGAGACGATCTGTGTTCTAGAAGTGTGCCTGCAAAGTTTTGTGCTAGTTTGTGCCGTAGTGAGCATCTTGACTGCACTTTTTTCACACTTCAGTGCCTCTTAAGGTGGAGGGTACAGGAGGCAGTCCTGCAGCACTGTTGGATTTCACTGGTATTAATTGGGATTTATGCATGCATGTAAAGTTGCTAGTCATTTATTTCTGTAGCTGTCCTTTTTGTGTCAGTGTCTTCCTGAGCGATGTGGTGAAAAGGACACTGTGTGCGCTTGTGTCTGCGTGACAGCACTGCACTGGGGAGTTACTGCAGATGGACGCGTGCATGCAATCTGGTGCAAGTCACAAAATACTGAACTCTCTCACAAACTCCATAAAGCCTAAAAATATAACTGTAAAGAATGTCTCCTATATAATAGGAACTAGTTGGGATTTACAGTAGATTAAGTGTTTTGTAAAATGCACACATTTTTTGATAGCCCTCATTCTTGTGTTCTCTATTTAGTGAAGTACCCCCCAACCCCCCGGTGCTATAAATCAAGATGGCCTTCCTGCTTCTCTTCCTCTTGGTCCTCTCCGAGAGCCGAGCTGACAACTTTGATGAGGCATACAGTGACCTGGAACACTACAGGACGATATACATATCAGGTAAGAGATTGGAAAAGGTGTGTTTGTGTGTGAAAGTAAATTGTAGAAAGAGAATGTTGAGAGATAGAGAGGGGGTTGTACTGACCATCCCCTAAATGGTGCTTCCCCTCCAGCATTTCCAAACAGGGGCACTACGTAATTATCTCATTGGGTGTTGGCTTAGGTGATTCAAACCCCTCTGGCTCCCATCACAGGACGCAAAGTGGCTGGAAATACTTACTACAAGTGTTAAATAATTGATTAGCTCCATATTTACTCAAGCTGAGATATGATAATAGTATCAGCATCCCTTACCGCATATGCAAAAGTAACGTCAGCCTCCCTAAACGCATTAGTTTGTGTGAACAACAATACATTAAAAGTATATATATATACACAGTATAAAAACACCATAATGTGTCGACAAGAAGTGATTACAACTAAATGTTGACCCAAACAACCACATCAAATGCACAAGTCTTGTAGCTTGGGTTCAAAATCCCATTTGTTCAAACAATGGAAATCATGTGGCACTTACCTTCCAACATTTTTAAAGACTTGTTGCATTGCACCTGGTTGGGACACTGTGCCAGTGCCTGTATTTTAAAGCTTGGTTGACATTTTGAGAGAGAAGCATTCCCTTAGCAGAAGCTGAATTCGTCTGCAGTTTAGCTGCAGTGTGTCCTTGCTGACCGGATAACTTGCAGGTTTTCATCAGATCCAACAGGGTGTTGCTGAGAACTTGTTTGTGACCGTCTAACTCAGATCCTTATCTGACACCCTGTCCATGGAGAAGAGAATGGGAGAGTTTTATTTTGATATACAAATCCCTCTAACAGTTATTTATAAATGAAATTTGTCAGGCATTTCTATAGTTATATGTGCACTAAAATGGTTGCAAGAGTAGAACACCTACTGGAGTGTCTTCGTTGGAAGAGCATGCACAGTTTCTTTCATAAACATGTAGGGGAATTTTATTCCAAAGAAATGCAGCAAACATCATGATTCATGTATTTGCTTAACCACAACACCATGTAGCAATAAGACAAAGAGAGATTCACTATATCATCTTTGTGAAACGCCTTATTGTTATTGGACACCAACCCATGCAACAGGGACAAAAAGAATCAGAGCCATGGCTATTAAATCAGTTGCAATCTGCATTTCTATTGCATCTATTTCTTTAATTCCTACTAAAATGAATATCACTTTGATTTTGGTTTTTAGAAAATGGCCCCCGACTCTCAGTTGACACAGCACAACCCAAAGTAATCTCACAACGTGGAGGCAACGCAACACTGCCATGCAAGTTCAACCGGGATCCCACGGCTGCCCCAAATCCCAAACTGAGGATTAAATGGACTAAACTGACTTCTGACTATCTTAAGGAAATCGATGTTTTCGTAGCTTTGGGTTTTCACAAAAAGAGCTATGGTCAATTCCATGGCCGAGTGCACCTTCAGGCTGCCAGCGAGAATGATGCCTCACTGGTTATCACTGAGATCACGCTGGAGGATTATGGGAAATACAAGTGTGAAGTCATCGATGGCTTGGAGGATGATACAGCAGTTGTATCCCTTGACCTGCAAGGTAAAGCATAGATTCATGTTATCTCACTGTTTTTCCAACAACACAATCTCAAGGAAATGTTCCTCTAGCAACATTTAGCCTAGTCACACAACACCAGGTCTTTAAGGTACTGTAGTCTACCATGTTGGCAAGTATTGTACGTTATCATTTACCAATTTTTTTCTGTCAATATTCTGTACATCTTATGCATCTTTTCAAACATGGTAACCTCTGAAGTGCCCACATTTTGTTGGTGCACGTAAAAATGTTGCTACAGCAACATACCATTGTGACACAGGGCTGGATTTTTTGGGAATATTATACAATACTATACACAGTTTATGCAACATCCTTGGTTGTTCCTCAAGCCAATTAGATATGAGATCGCATTGTGCTGACTCCCTTCACACTGTGTGCAAGGTAAACACTATTTACCTGTCTTATAATGCAGACTAGAACAACTTTTAAATCCAGGCCATCAGCAAGAGCTATCAGGGCCAAATAATGGGACATCAATTTGGTCCTTGCTGTCTGCATTCTTGGCATTACTTCATCTGCATGAAATAGATGAAATATTAGATAATCCATTGGGAAAAAAAAACAACAGATTTAGCAATCAGGAATTTGATTATTGCCAAATTACACACATAATAGAAGGACTTCTATAATGAAATTATGCAATTTCATACCTTTTCTGGTCTTTCTACAGGCATTTTGTTTCCATATTTTCCTCGACTGGGTCGTTACAACCTGAACTTCCCTGATGCCGAGAAAGCTTGCAGAGACCAGGATGCCATTGTGGCATCTTTCGACCAGCTGTACGATGCCTGGAGAGACGGGTTGGATTGGTGCAATGCAGGGTGGCTCAGTGACGGATCGGTGCAATACCCCATCACCAAACCCAGAGAGCCGTGTGGAGGCAAAAACACCATTCCCGGTGTGAGGAATTATGGGATGCGCGACAAGCAAAAAGAAAGATATGATGTCTTCTGTTTCACCTCTAACTACAAAGGTTGGTCCTGTCCAACTGTTTGATAAAAGACATTTAAAATAGGCTAGCAACTGATCTGATAATGTATGACAGGAAAAAAACTAATTGAGTTCAGCCATGCAAAGAATCTCTAATGACAACTATTGGCTTTGAGAATAAACACTTTCCCTTTTGTTTTTTCCAGGACGTTTCTATTATTTGATACACCCTTCCAAGCTTACATATAATGAAGCAGTGCAGGCATGTCAAAAGGATGGTGCTCAGATTGCCAAAGTCGGGCAGATGTACGCAGCATGGAAGCTGCTGGGCTACGACCGCTGCGACGCAGGCTGGCTTGCAGACGGTAGTGTACGGTACCCGATCTCAAGACCACGCAGACGGTGCAGTCCCACAGAGGCCGCCGTACGCTTCTCTGGATTCCCAGACAAGAAGCACAAACTCTACGGTGTCTACTGCTACAAGAGTGACAACTGAGCATACAAAACATACAACTCACGAACTAAATGTAATAATGTAAGGCGTTAGTTCGAGTGCATTAAAACTGTGACAAAGTCTCTAGATACTGTAATACAGAAGGATTTGAGGATAAAGAAAGTAACTGGTGTTTGTTTGAAAAAAGGATTCTGTAGGATTAGGCACCTCAGGCGCCCTCTTCCCGCAAAATCAGGAATTCACTACAAGATGGCAACAGGACAGGAATAGTATTCATAGGATGCCACAGAAATTATAGCTACGTGTTTCAGGTCTGAACTATCATATACAGCAGTGCTGAAGGAAGAGATATTTGACAGGATTGCAGTAGAAATTCACACTGTGCTCTTCCATTTAGCATGCAGTAGCTTGAGGGATGTTCTAGAACCGAATGACAAAAAAGCTTAAATTCTTTCAACTGATATCTTTGGGCAATTAGTTTGTCATTGAAAAACATCACACCATATAAATAGCATGATGGAAAATGTATTTTCTGTTGATAGGAAAACAAATTCAAGAAAAGTGCTAAATACCATACAGAACAGTTATGGCACAATGAACGCGATTTTTCCTTTTGCCATCCTTACAGGGTGCTAAATTGCATTATTTCTTAAAAAACATACCTTTTTTAATTTAGTCCAAAAACAGTTTATGTGTGGACCAAACCATGTTGAGTCATACGTCGCATTAAGAAACAAAACATTGTTCTGTGATTTTTTTAACTATTGAAATATACAAGTTGAGTGTTTATAAATGTATGTTAATTATCTTTTTCTTGAAACAATGCGTTTATAAGATGTCTCCCCTACGTCACAATGTAAGAGCTCCACTGTATCGACCTTGTCACTGTCAAACATTTTTTTGTCTCCAGGATCAGGAAGAAATGTGTTGTTCATACCACAGACATTGTAACAAAAACATTGTGTTTCAAAAGTAAATCAGTTGTTTTTAGTATTTCTGTTCTTTTCCATTTCAGACTTGAAATTCATCAATTCATGAAACCATAAAAAACCTATCTTCAAACATAGCCCATAGCAATGGTGCCAAATGTTAATCCAAATTAGTTTGCTAGAGGACCTCTGCGAAAGAAGGCACACAGCCCAGTTTCTAGCCCATGTGATGAGTAGTTTTAGCCTATGCATGTTTACCGTTTACAAATAACAAGACTGAGGTGGTCAAAAAGATGACAGTGCTAATGACCATATTGTGTTACTTAGTAAAAGAAAAACAGCACACTTAAATTTATCTTCTATTGTAGAAAAAAATAGACCTTGCAGGTAAAGGTTTACTCAAAGTCGAAGCAAAAAAAATAATGGCACAACAAAAAAGTGCATAGTTAGCATGTTGCATTCAGTCTTGTCTATGGAGCAGTAGACCTTCAGAAAATAATGTCAAGCCAAGTCATTTGGAAACAAACAATTAAAACAGACTGCCAAGCTAAGACAAAAACATCTTAATATTGTTTTATTATTGTTATCATTGCTATTAGAGTGAACACGGACAGTTTAGAACTACGGTCATGAGTTTTTGCCGCTACACTAAATTACCAGCTCCACAAAATATTTCTAAATATTAAAGGTTTCAAAATAATTGCATATGTATTCACATTCATTTCATTTTGTTTTGACTCTGGCAACTGTACATGTGCCTTGTTTACAAGACTTCAGAATAAATTTTAGAACTGGATGATGCTTAGATATGTCTTTATAGGCAGCGTTAACATTTTTCACCCTTGTTTTGTGTACATAAAGTATAATTAAACGGATGATTTGACTGTATCAATGTAAAAAAAAAAAACATTGAACCACAAAAAATAAACAATCAGTCAAATACATATTTGGTGTAGTTGTTTTCTCACTGCCAAAACACAAAAGAAAGGAAGAGAAATCTCAATATGTTTGTTTTGCCAGTTCTCTCACATAATTTTTGTCTCAGCTGATTGGCTCAATAAATAAATAAATTACCCCTCCAAAACATATGACAGGGATGAGGTTGGTGTCTCAAAACTGTACGTTATATTTTTATAATATTAACCTGAAAAATTTAACAACAATGGATTCATCAACATTGGCGATCAAGTCGACTATAGAACATAGCCTACAGTAAGATGGCCTACGGCTAAGTCATGGACTATAGCCTATGCCACAACGCTATTTGTTATTGGTCTTTAACAAGATAGTTGTGGTAACTGTGCATTTTCACTTTAGTTTGTTTTCAGGTCAGGTACACTGAAACCATATTTCAGGTCTCAATACATTTACTAGCCAAAGTCACTCAGAAAACAAAAATGGAATGACAAATTTAGTGACAAATGGTGAGGAGGACCCTATTGGAATTGTTCCATTATCAGATGTAATCTAAAAAGAACACTGAACAGTGTTCATGTTAACCTTCCACATCCTTACCTTGTCATCGTTATCAAATCGGTTAAGAAAGTCCTCAAAACAGTCTGTTCATTCCCGTCACACGCCAACTTCAAAATGGCGCGGGAAAATTTAATCTCCGTGTTACATCGCCCTCTTTTGATTAACATCAGCCATAACAACTTTCTATTACAATTAACGTGGGATTTTTATGAAGTCAAACAATCAAACACACGGTTTAAATGTGTTCATAATATACTAATAGCGCTTTTATTATTTAAAATCTCACAGTTCATTCATTGTTATAGGCCTATGTATCTTCAGCAATAAATTAAACTTCTATGGCTTCGTGTAACATTTGTAATAATGTTTGACAAAACTGCTAGTTCATTCAACCACACATACAGTATTCATATTTTCATATTTTACCATGACATTCATTTAAAAAAGTAAAAAATAAAATAAAAAAATGATTACAAACCCACAAAAAAACAACAACCTAAAATATATATTTCGATGCCATATGAGAATATGATTATGAGAGTGTACAATAGTTTGGTGTTATCGGAGTAATCCTCACAACTAGAGAGGATGCTGCCGAGGAAGATGACGATGAAGATTTGTTTTCCAGTCATGAGTTGCAGTCCTTTCAGCATTGTTTTGTCCTCCAGCCCCGTGACATCCCTTTTGAACCCCCCTCACCACAATGTGAAACAATATAATGCCTATTGTTCTTTTACTCTTCGTACATGCGTACTGTAATTGTTTTGTTTATACTCAGCTCGTACCATAGTGCTCTTTTATTGAGCCAGGGAGAAAAGGAAATCCCATTCTTCGTAAGGTTACGACTTAAAAAAATTACAGTCACCATTCACAGCTGTTTTTACTTGTTCATTATCTCTACTATATACATTTCAACCAGAGACCCTCCTCCCCATGTCAAAACATTAAGACATAATTACAATATGCGATGTACACTATTGCATAGTCGAAGATAAAGTACACTCTCAGTGGGTGTGATGGTGTTTTTTGCAGTCCCTCAGGGTAATTCACTTCAGCTCTAAAACATTCATCAGGCACATAGTTTGGCTTCGCGCCTTTCGACTGAAGACCTTCTCTGTGGATGTGAAGCATCTGTAGCTCTGGTTGGGGATCAGTGTATGGAGTCCTCAGTTGTTTTTAACCAGCGATGATGGGACCCACTGTGGCGTCTCTTACTGTTGTTGTAATAGTTATTGTTTTGATATTTGTGTGCATACGTCTTCTGGTAGGTAGATGCTGTAGATTAAAAGGTAAAGATATGTTAACTTTTACCCAAAAATGAACATTTTGTCATTCTTCACTCGAAAAAAAAAAAATATTGAGACATTCATTTGATCTAAAGGTTTTTATTTTTTGAATAATCATTTTAATAGCAAAAATGCTTTTGTGTGACTTCAGAAAACCTGGAATGCACTTTCAATTTTTTCGAAGAGCACTAACGTAATTTCCAATAATCAAAAATCATTAAAAATCGTTTCAGTTATTACAAATATTGTGGTCGGTCACTGATTACAAGTTACAAGGCAAAAATTTTAGTTAGTAACATAATCCATTTCATTACACATTTAACATAATATGATCTGACTACTTTATGATTATTTTTGACCTGAATGAATGGCCAATGAATTATGTATAGTTTACTGCCATTGTGAGAACATGAAATCAATATGTATTTTAAAACATAATATAATCTAATTACAATTAGGCTACATAAATTGGAATTTGATTGCGTAATCCAGATTTCATGTATAAATATATTTGAAATTTTCTTCTAGAATGATCATTTTTATCATGCTTGTTCATTTAAGTTTAGTAATTTCACTTAAATGACAATTAATAGGTAATCTTCATTGCAATTTAAGTGAAATTACTGAACTTAAATATACAGCATGATAAAAATTATCATTCTAGAACAAAATTTCAGATAGCACTTAGAGGCTTTTGAATCTGAAATCTTCATATATATATATATATATATATATATATATATATATATATGTATTAGGGCTGTCAAACGATTAATCGCATCCAAAATAAAAGTTTGTGTTTACATAATATATGTGGGTGCACTGTATATAATTATTTTGTATATATATAAATACACACACATGTATGAATATTTAAGAAAAAAATATTATTTATATATAAAATATTTATATTTATATATAATATTAATATATTATTAATTTATATATTAATCGCGATTAATCGTTTGACAGCCCTATAGTGCTGGCTAGTAACTGATTACATGTAATATTACATATATTACATGTAATATATTTTTTAACTTTAAACACTAGTAAATGTGACCAAAAAAAATTACTAAAACTTAAAATTAAATGAAAACTAAAAATATAAAAATATAAAACAAATTCAAAACTTTAATAATATATAAATAATACTAAAACAGCATTATACTTACGATTCAAGCATGTGATTTTGGGCTTGCCCCAGTGGCCATCTTCTTGGCATCTGATAGTAGGAACGTGTCTTTGGATGAAGCCGTCCTTGCAGTGGTACCTGACCAGAGAGTTGATTTCATAGCGTGGTTTCATGCTGCCATAGATATGGGCGTCTTTTATGACAGGGGGTTGACCACAGGACACTGGGACAGAGGAAAAAGAAAGTCAAAGACAATGAACTCACAGTAAGCAACACTGCAGACTAGAGGAGGTCTCACCAGTGCCCTTCTTGCAGGTGAAGGTCAGGTGATAATTGCACGGCACATCATTCCACTGGCCGTTCTCATGCCAGATCATCACCACGCAGTCCTCGCCCGTGGAAAAGAAGCTGTCCGGCTGACCCTCTCTCCAGTTCTCAAATTGCTAGTGCACAGGAACACAAGTACAGTGCGTTATTCTATTGGTGCAGTACTGCATGTGCCCACACGAGGGTGCAAAAATCACATAGACTGAATTTTATACACATCTGGAAGGGCTACATGGGACTTTCCTTGATAAAATGGGGAAAAGGGATGATGCGTTATTCAAACAGAATGTACTGCTGCATTCAATTTGCATGGGTTGAACACAAACACACAAGCCCCTTTTCATGCATGTAAAAAACATCAAATATAAATAACAGGATGACTCAAGGTCATTACAAAGATTTATGTTCATAATATATATAATTTTAATATATAAATGCACACACAAACACATTTTCATGTTTCATGGGGACTTTCCATAGACATAGGGATTTTTATACCGTATAATCTGTATAATATATTCTACCCTCAAACCCTAAAATGTGCATTTTCAAACAACATCACTTAATATGATTAATCTGTTGTTTTCCTCATGGGGGACCAAAAAATGTAACCGCACGGACAAGAATTTTGGATATTGCGATCTTTGTCAAGACATTTTGTAACGTAGCTTTTATGTTGTAATGACTTTCAATCACAATAACATACTACTTAATATAAAATAAAAAAGCTACTACTATTTTTGCAGTATGTATGTGTCCACATTATTATTAACAATGTAAGAGCAGATGCAGCAATTATTATTGTAATCATAAACAAAACGTTTGACTGTTACTGAACTTTTGATATTCTTCCAGTTATTTACCCATTGCCATAATAAATCAGAAGTTTCACAAATTTACAGGAAATAGATAGTAGACAGCATGCAATTTTTTTCCGTATGCATGGAATACCCAGATAACATAGAAATAAGACAAAATATGCGTTATAAAACCAAAGCACACTACTGTATGTAGAATACTGTAACCCACAATGCAATGCACTCTTCCTATTGTCAGCATGACAAATTAACTACAAACATCAACAGTTTTAAAACCTACAATAATCACTTAATGAATTGTCAAAAGTCAAAACATTCTTAAAAAAAACCCATATTTTTAAGATGATAACTGGACTAAATTTGCATTCTGATTAATATAGTATTTTGGTTACACTTTATTTTAAGGTGTCATTGTTAACTTACTGTATATAAATATTAAGCAACTAAATGTACTCACCATAGGGTTAGGGTAGGATTAGGATTTGGTTGAGGGTTAGTTGCATGTAATTATGCATAATTTACTCTTATTACTATGGTAAGTACATGTAACATACTGTATGTAACAAGGACACAGTAAAAATAAAGAATTAGGTATTATAATAAAGTATAAGGTAAATTGATTAATTATTCACTCTCAGAAAAAAAGGTACAAAAGCTGTCACTGCGGCTGTACCTTTTCAAAAGGTAAACTTTTGTCCATTTTAGCTGCTAATACATACATTTTAGGTGCTAACATGTACATTTTAGGTGCTAATATGTCCATTTTAGGTGCTAATATGTCAATTTTAGGTGGTAATATGTACATTTTAGGTGTTATGTACATTTTAGGTGATAATATGAACATTCTAGGTGCTAATATGTCCATTTCATGAGCTAATATGTACATTTTAGGTGCTAATGTGTTCATTTCAGGTGCTAATATGTACTGTACATTTTAGGTGCTAGTATGAGCTAATATGTACATTTTAGGTGCTAATATGTACCACTAAGGTACCAATATGTAGCCTTTGGATACAAAAGTGTACCTTTTGAAAAGGTACAGCCCCAGTGACAGCTTTTGTACCTTTTTTTCTGAGAGTGTTATTAAGTGCGGTACTCATCTTTTTTACCGCTTCTGTTACCACACAGTATGATAAACATGCTAAAGGAAGAACTTTCCCGTTAGCATTAGCATCATCTCATGGTTGGTAGATAAACAGTTGCACTTGGGTGGCACAATTTTGTACTGCGTTTTTTAAAGTCTGTGTTTTCACTAATTTCAGGATCAAACAACCTCTATTAATCATTGTCAAAAAAACAAAACAAAAAAAAACCTCAAACTCAAACAAAACAAGAATGACTCATTTCTCTGCAATCCTGGACACCTGGAACACAGAAGTGCATCTGATAAACAGACATTATTAGGATCAAAATAATGAATCCCATCTTACCATAGGGTGTCCATCGGTCCAGCGGAAATCATTGTTAAACATTTTATCATTCAGCCCGATCCACTGATAGTCATGGCCCAAACCTACAAGACAGTTACACATCTCTGTCAAGTCCGTACAAACAATCATATAACTTTAGAAGACTTAAAATTTAGTGCACAAGTTGTATAGATTTCTGTTTTATGCTACTGGTTATCAGTTTCATTCGGAAAACGGACAATTCCCGCTTCAAACTGCTGTGTCAGACTGGTCGGGAAACTCAAACAAACAGAGCAATGTTTTGATAGCACCACATGCTTATACTTTTGGGGACAATGAACCCAATTATAGTTGTCTCTGCATATTAAACTAGGAAATGAGAACATATTTTAACATAGAAAAAAAAAAAAACAGCTACAAATCTTTTTGTGTGAGGGCCTTTGCAAACTTCTTTGACATCTTTAATAAACTACCTGGCTGAAGTGAAAATAGCAGGAAATCAGTTAAACCAAACCACACATCAAATGACAAACAAATGTAGAACAAATCGTTTCTGTGCCCGGAGCAGCCAAGATGAAGTTTGTTTAGTTTGGAGTCAACAGCATGCAGCACTTTTAATATGACATATGCTTTGTTTAATCATTGCAGGATCATCTGGTCCCGAATGGGCTATATGCACGCATAAATTCCGCATTTGACGCAAGGATGCTCGTCCATTTCCGGTTGTGGAGATTAAAGCGGAGGAAAACGGGACTATGGCAGAGTCTTCAAAATTTACTGTCCTCCCGTCATTGAAACGAAACGTACACATGTTTAGATGTAATTTTATATATAGTTATGTTTATTTAATATAATTTTAAAAAGAAGCATAAACACAACGAGGGGTGTCTGTTTTATCTATTTTTGTGACTAACGTTTCTTTAGTATAACCATGGAGTATAAAATTCAATATAAATTCTCGGTATTGCATTGGACTCTACGATCGGCGGAAGTTATCGAGCATCCTTACACCTTCACCGGAAATACCGCCGTGCATAGAGCCCATATGGAGTCCTGACATGGAAAATGCCTGACGCTCAAGATATTTTCACATTTTATTTTTATGACATAAAAATACATCAATAATACCCCCTTGACTTGAAAAAGCTGGTTGCGAACAAATGCCTAAATAGGACTACAAAAGTGGCTGGCCTGGGACATTGAACATCATCACAACGGACAGGTAAACTCATTATGCTGGGTACACACCAAAGGATATTTTACATCTTATAAGATTTTCACACACATGAGGAGAAAAAATCCTAGATTTAACCGTTTTGCTTCTATAGTGTGTGGTGTGCCATTTTGTGACAAAGACAGTGTGACAAGTGAGTGTGAAAAGTGCCCAGACAGCAAACTGACATTGAATCAACGTGGAAACGACGTCTCTCATGACATTGAAACAACGTTGATTTGCGCATCGAATTAACGTTGAACCAACGTCAGACGCGGCATTCTTCAAAGCTAAATGAAATCGAAAATTGGTTTGCTTTCATAACGTTGAAACAACGCGTTGATTTCAAGTTGATTTTCTGTTAGTTTTGAAAGAATGACGCATCTGACGTTGGTTCAACGTTAATTCGATGAGCAAAATGTCAGATCAACGTTGTTTCGATGTCATATTTCCACGTTGATTCAATGTCAGTTTGCTATCTGGGTGGTATGTGACATTATAGTTCATAATTCATTATAGTCCGTTATAAAATGCGTATTAAGTTTTGTTTATACTAATGGTTATATTACAATGCGTATTAAGTTTTTTCACTGTTTAAAATCAGAGTTTTATTAAGAATTTAGAGTAATATTAACTTAAGAAGTTGAATGCAGATAATGCTGATCTTGGTCTGTATGGGTTAATTATTCGTCGATCGTTTGATAATGCCTTGGGGTTTCAGTAGGGGGATTCCGCGCGCTTCTCTTCCTCATTCAATACAGATGAGTGAGGGCGAGACGTGCGCGTGTGCGAGTTTCTTCACTTTTCTCATTATTTTTGCCCTTTTTAAGGTAATGACCACTCACAAAGCAATGTAGATAGTAACACATGTTGATAGTAGACTACATTTCATTATGTTACTGTGGTTTATATAAGTAAAAGAGACATTTTACATGCGTATGTCAGACTGATCTCATGAAGTAGCGTGTGTATGACACGCCAATTCGTATTTCCATTTTTGGCGTGCTATCAAGACGCATAATCGCTTTTCAGCGTGTTTATGAACGCCGTTGACTTAACGCTATTACTGTATATATAAATATATGACTTACCTCAACCCCGTCCCTAAACCTAACCGTCACTGGGGTTAATGGCATTTATGACTGGATATTTGATGGCGCGTACAGACACGCGGAATCACTCGGACGTTAATGGCGTAGACATACACGCATACACGCGGATACACACGGATAGCTCAAAATGCGTAGAGATAACACGCCACTTGACTCAAAAGCGGCGTGTGTGTTTACGCAAAAGTCATGATGTCATGTTGCGTATGTCGTTAAAGAGTTTTGTGCTAACTGAGATGTGTCACATTATGCTAGCAGCCGTCGTGTTGAGTCCCGCTATATATAAGTGTTATCTTTATTGTTGGTGTTTAAGTTAGCCACCGACATCCACATATTTTTGTTGTAAGATTTATTGTGAATTTATCACTATAGTATAAGAGTGAGTTTGTGTCATGCTTGAGACAATGAATACTGTTAAAAGTATAATTCATTTTAGTGTTAAGTGAGAACTAACGTAAAAAATGAGTATTAATGAAGTTTGATAACTTTGTTAAAAACAATTTACATTTCATATGGTAATTTGGTGCGCTTTGAGCGTGAGGCTCACGCAATTGAGCCAATTCTCATGCTCTCACGCCACACCCCCGATTTATCACGTTAAAGTGTCAAGCTAGTTGGCAAAATATCTGAAAGATAAGTATATCTATAAATCCACCAGTTGAGCCACTCGTGATCGACTAGTTTTACCGCAAATTAGTTAAAATATCCTCTAATCTAGTCTAGAGCGATGGTGCATATGAGACAGATGTTGAGCTCCTAACGGCGCGGACGCAAAACCAGGACTGGAGTCAAAGCCAATTCCTCTCTGCGTTCTGTTATCACTCCGATTATATCCAACAGGTTTTCCAGTCTCACTCACAGGAAAAACTGCTCAGTGTTCGCGTGAGCAAAGTGCACACGTTTCTCTAAAACACTCACAGGTTATATACAGTAATCCTTAAGTTAAATTTACTACTTTTTAATACCTTTTTTACTACGTTCAGATTTTTTTTAAAACCATCACGACACTGAATTGCAAGTGTTAACCAGCGACCTTTCTATTACACAGATTTTGACATTTATAACATACTAAAATGAATAGATTTAGAGCACGTATTCCATTTTTATATTTAGTGGATTGCATTTGCGACCGAAGTTTTACACTTTTACCACTGGTACAACCCCCCTCAACCTGACTGAGTGGCAAAAGATCTGCTGCGTGACTGGATTTAATAGGGGAAACTATTAAACGAAAATGCGACTAAAACTAACAATTTGATCAATTTAAACTAAATGTTGGACTCAATATAGTTGGACTCCTAACAACTTACTAAAGATCCAGTGATCCATGGATATTGACATGCAGCCAGCAATCGTGTCGCCTGACATTTATGTTTGCCTGATTTCAATAAAAGGGAAATAAAAGCAATATATAGATCTACATAGGCTAAAGCAAATTTGCCTGTGAACGCTTTATATAAATACAATATAGGTGGGTCTAAATCCGGGTGATCACTTATATCAGGGTTATATAGCCTCTATATATCATCATATCGTCCAGCTACTGAATATGATGTCAGCATCAAACATAGACAGAGATGAAAGATCTTTGATTGTGCCCAGATAAGCTAAAGCCCATATTTATTCGGACTAATGCAAACACAAAATAGGACATCTGATAGTCTGAAAAAAAAAATAATACCTAATTTTTAAAAAAATAATACCTCTAAAACTACATTTAACACTTTTAATGGCCTTAAATTTGACAATTTTGATTTATCACTTTTTAATACTTTTTAAAACCCCGCGGACACCCTGACTCAGCACAAACAGAATGCCTATTCTTAAAGTCTTGTGCTGTTTTATGAAGGCAAAAAGCAATATCATGGTTTCGTTTTCTGGTTCATTGGCAAAATACAACGCTAGAGACCTTTATGTTAGTTTATACATTTTACATCTCATATGTTCGGCAAAAGGGGGATTCGAACTCGGGTCCGAGCGCATCAATAAGGTTTGCTCTTTCATGAACTACACGCTCTACGATCTACGCCACTGTAGCTGTTCCATGTCAGACGTGTTTCTGTTATAAAGACAGGCGGCTTTAGTGCAAATATGGGCTATGCTCCATTTATTCATTTTCTCACACAAACTGCTCGTTTCGTGTCTTAGGCCATCAATGTGTACTTACATTTACAAGTCATTAAATCATGTTTAATTTGGACTTCTCTGTGCATGCTCTTTGAGGTGGTGACCATAGACCTGCATTATATGACTGATAGACAACAACGGCTTGACAGAAAATATCAAAATTGAAAATCCTATTTAAACAAAGACACTACATCTTGGATGCCTTTGAGGTAAGCTAAAACATATCAAAAATTAATTTCAAAGTGAACTATCCCTTTAAGGGTTTGTTCAAACCCTATGCAACTATCAAGGCAGTACGGATGTCTGCTTTGGCAAATACCATTTGTAAATTCAATAGCACACAGTTCATGAAAAAGAACTTACGATTTACAAAGAGCTGCTCCTCGTGGGACAGGACGCTGGTGAGGTGACCGCCCTGCAGACGACACTCTCTTTCCGCTGCTTCCCATGTCCGTCGGTGTGTGAAGTATTTATAGCAGTGGCTCTGAAACTTGTGCCAGCCAAAGTCACAAACCTCTGTATCTGAAAGTTTGAATAACAGACATTTAATCATGAGAAACAGAGGAAAAGAAACCTAAAAATGAGTTAAACAGACAATACATATTGGATAGCTTCCATAATATCATCCATATCCATGCAAATGCACCCCTATTCAAATTGCAAATGCTTTTGTAATGCATTATGCAGCTACAGCAAGCATCATAGTGCCCATAGTTTATCAAAGAAAAGACGTCTCATGATAGCCATTTTCTTTAGCATTAGCGATGAACAAGCCTGTCTTTCAGATCATGTATGGTTATGGACACACAGAACTGCATCTGTTTTGAGAACTGCCATCAACTGGGTTAACCTAGTGCAAAGCACTTTTTATTCTATGCCATACAATGGAGATCATCAACATTTTACTTGGACTGAAACCCCCTAATGACCGCAGCGCTCAGTGTGAAAGCTAAATGCAAACAATGACATCTAATGAGGCTGGAAAGAAAACTAGTAAATGAGGCCAAGTAAATCATCTCAGATGCACGGCCCATAGTGCTGTTTTCTTTAACTGATTACACACCATTACAAGCTCACTTCATCCTTTGCCTTGAATGTCCAAACTGCTGTCATGGCATAGTGCATGTACTGTATATTAGAAAATCTATTATAATTGCTACAATAATATACAAATCTCAAATTTACTTGAAAATGTATATTGTCCCTCCGGTATCAGTTGTGGATTTTAAATTGCCTACTTATTTTGGTAGACCTATAGTAGAACTAATACAGACAATAGATCAAATCAGGACAAATACTGTAACCACCAGTCAGTAACGTTAAAGGAGTAGTTCACTTTAAAAAAAAAAAAAAAAAAACTTTTGCTGATAATTTACTCAGCCCCATGTCATCCAAGATGTCCATGTGTTTCTTTCTTCAGTCGAAAAGAAATGAAGGTTTTTGATGAAAACATTCCAGGATTTTTTCTCTATATTGCACTTTACTGGGAACCAATCGGTTCAAGGTCCAAAAGACAGTTTCAGTGCAAACTGGAAACTGTTCAAAGGGCTTTAAACGATTCCAGACGATGAATAAGGGTCTTATCAAGCGAAACGATCGCTCATTTAAAAAAAAAGTAACATATGAACGAATCTTTTTTCGAGTCATTTGGTTCATTCAAACGAACGAAATGAACCAAATGACTCTGAAAAAAATATGTTCATTCTGATGAACAAGTTCGAGTAAAAATAAGTCAAAATAAGTCACAACAACAAGCGTGGCTTACGTCACTTCAGAGTTCCTACTGGCGGTGCGAACGCAAAAAGGAAAATGTTCCTAAGGGAACCATTAGTTCTCGGGGAACCACCCTGGTGCCTAGTTTCTAGAACTACCCGGTGCGAAAGCCTTATTTGTCCGAAAAAAAATGGAGTGCTTTTGTACTTTTTCATGTCTAGGCATCTTGGTGACGACAAGGACTCTTTTTTCCCCAAAGTACTGTCAAATGCTACAGTATTTAAACCTTTGCCTAAAATGTTGCATTTATCGCAATATCAAAAAGTTGGTAACACTTTACAATATGGGTGCACTAATATGCATTAATTCATGCTTAACTAATACACTAATGAAGAACTAAACCATTAGTTAACGATTACTGCATCAGCAACTAATAAAGAGTCTATATGATTAATAGATTAAGTAATACATGAATTGCTATTAATTCAATGTGTCATTGTGTATTAATTCCTTAATAACATATTTTATTAACTAATAGTGTAAATTAATGTGTTAATTACCACAATTAGTCAAAGCTATGCACTTCAACTTCCAGTTATCTGCTTTAATTAATCATTAGCTAATGATTCGCAAAGGTATCATTATGTTATGACTTTACTTGTTGAGGCACATCATTATTAACTAGTCATTTAGTAATTGTAGTAATTTTCACATGAATTTGCACTAACAATTAAGTAAGTAATCATGTATTAATACATATTAGTGTACCAGTCATATTATCTGGAAGTTGAAATAGCTTTGGCTCATTCTGGTAATTAACATATTAATTAACACTATTAGTTAAAAAAATAGTTATTATGGAATTAATCCACAATTAAATATTTAATTAAAAACAATTCATGTATGAACTAATACATTAACCTTACAGACTCTTAATTAGTTCCTAATGTGGTAATCATTAATGAATAGCTTAGATAATCATTACTTACACATTAATTCAGTAATATCTGTGCATTAGTTACGCATGAATTAATGCTTATTAGTGCACCCTTATTGTAAAGTGTTACCAAAAATTTTAATGCAGCAGCTATGAATGAATTGTTTACAACTGTCAACAAATGTCCAAATTCCTGATTAAACAGAAGTGTGTAAAAAAAATGTATTTTTTGTTGTAGCATGGAACGCAAGAGTTCGGCTTTTTAAGATCTCCCCTAATCTTTAGCTAAAAAGCCTGAGAAAACAGATGTCCTCAGAGGTGATGTGTTTGCATGGAGAAGATTAGCTCTGCTGACTAATGGCAGCAATATTTTGTATGAAGCTAGAACCAATCCATTTGGGGACCAACGCCCAACACGACCGCCAAGCCTGTGCAAGTGAGCGTAAATGTCAAGTCCTGAGAAGGTTAATAGCTCTCTTCAAAGTTAAGACATCCTCTCATTCATAAGTCGACTGATTATTTTCATAGTTTAAAGCTAAAGGGATAGCCCTACAAGACTTAGGGGGTATTTGAGGGTTTCTATACTGTGGCTTGTCCCCAACATAACTCAAAGGGGTCTCCATGAGCCTCTTGGACAAACAGTGATTCATTAACTGATTCCAGCTGCGTTCACAGTACAAGGCCCATATGCCAATTGCAATCGCCTTGCCAGAATCCTAAGGGGTCTCACCTTTAAGTGAGGGAACAGCAAAGAAGGGCCAAGAAACCCTTGTCCCAACCCTGCTTCATGTCATCGGAGGAGAATGGCTTGATTTCATCATCCTCGAACATTAAACACTGTCCACAGCCATGTTAAATAGAGATTATAAATGTTTTCTTTTTTTCCCTGAGTTGTTTGTCATAGTGAAAACCACAACAGACACTCCAAAAGGGATGTTCTCATATTTGAAGTGCTTCACTGAACATGTTGATGGGTAATGGGAACTAACTCTAAAAAGGCTCTCACTGCATGCCAACAAGACACTCTTTGTATGTCAAAGTGATTTGTAACACTACTTAAAAGATTTTATCTTAACCTTGTCAGAACAATGCCAAACCAATGGCCAGACTAAATTTCAGCTTGCCAGCAGATTTAGCACCTACAGATAAAATGTTACCCCTTCGCCTCATGTGATGGCTTAGAGACAACATGTCATGAAGACCTGGTATCACACACAATAAGGTTATATTATGCCAACATTAGTTAAATCAATGACACAACGAAAAAATACTTTTAAAGCATCTTTTAAACTTTGTTAATAGTTAATTTCTGTGGACAGTATAATGTTATTCACACTTCACCGACAGATGCTGATGAACGCAAGCAATCACCAGATTACAATATGTCACTTAGATATTCCCCAACCTTACAAACACCGATTCAACAATCTACAAAAACAAGCACTGACCAATGCCAACAGAAGCCAACATTGATCCGACAATACCAGATGAACTTGTCTGTTGTACTGTAGTTGGTTAGCGTTTGTCAGTGCCATGGCACTTCAGATTTTCAGGTATGTATGGCTTCAGTATATCTAAGTTATAGCAAACACTGCTTATAATATTGGTTAAGAAATTAAATAATTAAAGGATTAAAAGGGATTTAATAGCCTGGGAAAACCCAGACAACTTCCGGCAAATTTAGATTTGCTCTAAAAGTTAGTCTGGCAAAGAGCTCATTCTAGCCCATTTGGATGTGGAACATTTTGAAAGTGGATGTTACTTGTTCAGAAGACATTTTCCGGTGAAAATTCTTATGTTGGTCAAACTTTCAAAAAGTGAATCTGTGATTCTGTATGACAGTATCCACACAACGTGGTGATTGACAGCAGCACTCGCCTCAAAACACTGTGTTCATGCGCGTTGTTTCATGCTGATTTACAACCCACGTAAAGATGAAAATTCTGCGAATAACTCCAATTGCAGATTTCGAACAGACATGGTGATAAAGAGGAAAAGCTGCGGACTGCAGCTTTAAAATCAAATAATTGATCAAGTAACTTGTTTGTATGTCTAATGTGTAAAAAAACAGTTTCTTGTTTTGTCAGTTGATTGCATATTTTCGATTATAAATGGTAAAATTATACTAAAAAAAGTTGTGTAGTTTGCATCACTGTATGTTACTTTTGGTCGTTAAACATATCCATCGTAAAATAGTTGTTAAATATTATGTTTAGCTACTTATATCTTACCACCCATGCACTTTTTTACTGTATAAAAAACTAAAAGTGTCACGTTGGAACTCACACTCATCCTCAGTGAACATTAAGCCCCGCCTTCTTTGATCTGATTGGCCACGGTTTTGACAGACCAGCCAAATTAGCTTTTTAAACTTTCTGCCATCCTAACAATAAACAGAGGAGTATAGTGCGTAACGGAGAGCAGCATCAAATAATAATTTGGCCATTTCCAGTTTGGGTGGGACTTGTCCCCCTCAATGCAAATGGTGGTTACACCTTGCGCTGAAATATGCCACATTATGAAGCTCAGTGCATTGCAAACGTCATTTAATTCAGGCTTTAATTAGTTTCCAAAGCCTTCTAAAAGTCACAGGCTAACCTTGGGAACCCTTCCAAATCATGATTTTGTGGTGAACAAGAATGACGAGGCGACCAAAGGAAAATGCCCTCATCATTTACCTAGCCACTCTAATGTGCCTGGGACCATGCCAAGTAAGGCAGTTGGCTCAGAAAAGGCTCAGCAAATTGTTCATTTGTGAGAAGTGTGGTGGGAGTAAAGGACAAGGCTGTGCTGTCACTGACTGGCTGACCTTTTCTCTGAGCCCTATTGTTGGCACAAATCTGTTTTCATCCCTCTGGACACCATACCGCAGACCTTCTGGAGGATCAGGCCTGCCAGATGTGATGAACTGTGTGGTTTGCTAACAGTTTGGACTTACCACCATAATCAATTCGCTTCAGTGGAATTATTAAACAGACACTATTCACTATTTAGAAAATAGCCCCAAAAATCATAACATATTCCATTCACCAGCTCCTCCAAATATAAAATGAGCTATAGAAATATTTCACTTACAGTATTGGAAACCTAGCTGGCAGTCCTCATGTGTAATCATAATGTTTGAGGAATAAACCATTTATACATTTGGCATTGTGCGTTGCATGAAAATGATGTGATAGAATCAACAGATACAGTCCACATTTGGTTGCAAAAACACAAAAAATTACCTAGCCTAATTAAAACAATTCTATAGCATCATGTTTTTATACCTTGCTCACAGTGGGCTCCCGAATAGCTGGGCAGACAGACACAACTGAACGAGTTCAACCCATCAATGCATGTAGCTCCATTGCGACAGGGGTTCGACTGGCATTCATCAATGTCTACAAGAATTAGGATATGAAAGTATATTACTTTTCTTTCAGAAACTCTAATTAAGCTCATTTAAAGTGAATAAAATTGAAAGAATTAACAGGTTCAAACCATTTTCACAATGTTCCCCACTGAATCCAGGCATGCAGACACAAATGTTTCCTTTTCCATTAGAAAAGCATTTTCCATCATTTTCACACACATTGACAGAGCAAAGTGTGAGACCTGAAATAACAAGTACATATCTATTAGTAGATGGACATATCCATTATGGGCAAATTAACTATGAATCAATTAGAGTAATTCCATTAGTAGTAAAACCTCAAGATAGGAATTTTTGAAATTGCCTATTCACCACTATACAAGATAAGCAAGAGTTACAAAAATATACATTATGTGAAACTGTACCTTCCAAATCCAGCATATTATGGCTCTCAACAGTGTAGCTGGATTCCGTCCAGACCTCTGGTTTTCTTGTGGTTAACTCTTCCCTGGATGGTGGTTGTCTTTCAACAAATGAGGGACCTGGCTGATCTTCATAATCTGGGGAATTTGCTTCAAATGCCACAGTACTTGTGGCTTCGGTAGTGATGAAAATGTCTTCAGTAGCAGAAGTAGTGCCTCTATCCGAGACCTGAACTGGCTCTTCCTCATTTAATTCTGTAGCAACACTGGTGGGGGGATGACTAGAAACTGGAGTAGATGAAGTGAGAGGCTTCTCCGTTGAGATTCCAGGTGGAGAATGTGATATTTCTTGTGTTGTCTCCTCTGAAGTCTCAGGTGTCTGCACTGTGGTGGTTGTGTCTTCTGAAGATGGTTTTTGGATTAATTGATTTTCTTGGGAGGAAGACATTACATCAGTGTGTAGAATGGTAGTCTCTGAACTTTGGGTTGTGAATTTTGTTTGAGTTTCGACACTGGTAAAACTCAATGGTGTTGTGTCTTCTGCAGAACCTGGATTTCCAAGATTTTCTTGGGAGGAAGACATTACTGCTCTAAGACCATCACTGGGCAGAATGGTGGTCTCTGAACTTTGGGTTGTGAATTTTGTTTGACTTTCGACACTGGTAAAACTCAATGGTGTTGTGTCTTCTGCAGAACCTGGATTCCCAAGATTTTCTTGGGAGGAAGACATTACTGCTCTAAGACCATCACTGGGCAGAATGGTGGTCTCTGAACTTTGCGTTGTGAATTTTGTTTGACTTTCGACACTGGTAAAACTCAATGGTGTTGTGTCTTCTGCAGAACCTTGATTTCCAAGATTTTCTTGGGAGGAAGACATTGCTGCTCTAAGACCATCACTGGGGAGAATGGTGGTCTCTGAACTTTGGGTTGTGAATTTTGTTTGACTTTCGACATTGATAAAACTCAATGGTGTTGTGTCTTCTGCAGAACCTTCAAATACTTTAGCATTTGAAGTACTAATTTCTTCAGTTTGTTGAATGAGAAGGGATGGAACAATAGTTGTAGTGAAAGGTTGATTTGAGAATGCTTCAGTTGGCTGATCACCAGAGCTGAAGTCCTCAGAGAATGTGAAGATCGTGTTAACACCTTTTTCAATCTCAGGGACCAACAAGGGACTCTCAGTTGAACTTCTGTTTTGGTCTTTCTCAGAATGTTTAATATAACCAGTGCTTTCCTCTGAGATTGCCCCTGTTTGAAAAGTTGAGACCACCTGAATCGTAGGCTCTGTACTGGACAGAGCCAAACTAGCAGGTTGCCTTGGCTCTTTGGGATGAGTACTTGTTAAGGAACTTATAGAGCTGTGAGAAGAAACCGTGAAAGATGGAGATAAAGTTGAATGTTTTGGCTCTTCTGCTGAATATATATCTTGTCCCGAGCTTTCTTCTTCAGCAGAGGTGGAGCCCTCAAAATCTTCTGTTTCTGTCTTCATTTCTGTTTCTACAGTTCTGGATTCTGGAGTTGTAACAAATGGAGTTGTAACAGGTCCTTTGGTGGAGCAATGCACCCCAAATGTCTGTGTAGTCTTCTCTGTTTCCGCTATTTCAGTCTCATCAGTAACTACAATATCCGGGTCATTAGATGCCGTTCTTGGCAGCGTGTCATCTGCAGAACCTTCCAATGGTGTCAATTCCTCTTCATCATCTGTTGGGCGCATCCCAGAACCGTCTTCGAACTTCGAAATGCTAAATGATATGGCTTGTGAGGTCATCTTCTGGCTTGGAGACTTAGTTGTAAACTTGGGAAACTCTGTCGTGGTTATACTTCCCGAGCTCTTTGTTGTGAAATGGGGCTCAATTGGGGTTCTTGACGTTGAGCCAAATTCATTTGTCTCAGGGGAGGAAGTGATGCCTTCAGCCTCCGTCAACAGTATTTCTATCTCATCATCAGGGATGGTTTCTTCTGTTGGTGGGATAGCAGTGTCAAACTGGTCTCCTCTGGCCTCCTGAGTTTGGTCAGTGTCTGGTTTCAGAGTCAACTCGTGCTTTCCGTTAATGAAACTTAGTTCTGGGGTGATGGTAACAGAAGCCGAGGGATATATATCAAGGTCTCCACTGCCCAAAGGTGGCTCATTTTCACCAGTTAGGGCTCGAGTGTTGTGCCCAAGGAATTTTAGAACATCATCAACTGCAAGCAAAAAGGAAAAGACATTACACAAGCGTTTTCTAAGTGAGTTTGTTTAAAAATGATACTGATTTAGCCAACAGATCTTTTTCAGCTTTTAATTTAAGTGATGTGAAGGCCAAAGTAAGGCAACTCATTCTCAGAATTTGTCCTCTGCATCCAAGTTAGTGCACACCAGACCAGTGGGCAGCCATTCACTTTGGCGCCTGGGGAGCAATTGGAGGTTAGATCCCTTACGTAAGGGCACCTTAGTCGTTCCAATACGATATTGAGTCCAACGCTCTAACCATTGTGCTGCAACCGCCCCCTAGATCTTCAATAATGTTCATCTATGATGATCTACTGTGAAATCTGCTTCTATATTCAGTTTCAACTTTATGTTCCCAAGTTACTTTACAGACATCTTAGAAACTGGCACTGCATGAGTCTCACTTGAGGCAAATAAAATTCTCAAGCCAATTATGATTTTGGCCATCAAGATATGACTTATTATTGTTCCTAAATAAGAAGCTCTACTTAAATACAGTAGAATAAATTGCTTATTATACATTTAATTCAGAAATATGTCCCAATGAGACCCTAAAAGTCACCATATTGCAAAATCACAAGGCCCTTTTCTTGTTCAAAATTAAATGAAGTGATTCCAGCAACTGTTACATTACAAATTAAACTGGGTGAAATATAGACAGCAATTTGATTTCATCCTGAAAGGCCTCAACATACATTTGTAAAACTTTCCTTTGATGGTCATACCAGCAGCCATACACGGTAACCTGATCTGTAGGCTGAACGAGGTAAGGGAAAGTAATTAGCTTGCTCTGATTACTTTGCTGATTGATGTTTTAAAGGGCTTTGCCATTTAACCCAAGAGACATTTGTCTGTGGCTTTGAGAGCTACTCTTTCTCACACTCGACACCTCTTTCTCTCTCTGATGTTTTACTAGAGTAGATGCCCCTTTAACAATCTCAAATGGTATAAATGGTTCGACTGATTAATGTCGACCCACAGGACCTACAAGACAGGAACACTGGCTACAGTTCATTTACAGATGTTTATCAACCTCATCACTCTTTCCAGCGACACTGGAAGTCAATTAAGGTCATGGGAAGGCATGAAAGAACTGTTTCCCCTTCCCCTATTTACGCATGTAGGCAGCACCACTGTTTTAGCTTTACTTGTGGATGAGGTAAAGATTAAACACAAACCAACGACTTAAGCAACTGCATAAGGTTGCATAAGTCCAGATGTTGTTTGCGAGACAGCAGTGGCTGTCCCGACAGAGCCAAATATGTCCTCTCTCTAGCCAAGATCTACATTCATTTTGCATCTCAGTGTTTCCTAAACCCAGTTGCTCATTTACAACATGCTGCTTTGGACTAGCAACAATCACATAAAAACACTGCTGCACCAATATATGAAAGGATAAGCAAGGATTTTTTATGCATGGACGAAATTTTTCGAAATCTGACCTACCTGACTGATTTTGGCCCGCAATGTTGACTATAAGCATATTGATGTCTAGTGAAAAGTTGACATCCTTCATGGATTCAATCTGCTGGTTGTGCACAACCTCTTCACTTAAATGCGGGGTTATCATGGTGGACTCAGCAACGGCCGAACCTTCTTCGGTCGTGTTTGCAGTGGTTTGGTTCTCTTTGTATACAATTTTTGGCTCGTCTGAGTCTCCTTGGAAGGTCGTAACAAACACATGCGAAGTAGGAATCACACTCTCGGGAGTATCCGTGTCACCACTGATGGTACCCTCAGTTCCACTGTATTCCTCATGCGGAGTATCCAACACAGGGTGACTGCTCCCTGCGGTGGGCTGACCGGGTAGCTGGATAGAGAAAAAGTTATCTAGATAATGGGGTCTTTCAGTTGAGGTGGGGACTGAGAATAGCTGAGAAGGAGAGTATGTATTTGCACCAGGGGGTTCCTGATGCACCAGTGATTTGTCCGGATCTTCATAGTCATTAAATGTGGTTGGGGTTGCCATATCTGCAATTGTCTCGGCTTCAGTTGGTACAACAACTGTGGCTTTAGCAGAAGGATATGCTTTAGGAGTGGCTCTTTCACGTGGAGCCATGCTTGCAGAAAACACGGATGGTGGTTCTTCTGTGGTGCCGTGGGCTGGTGTAGAAGACGTTGCTTTAAGGGAAGAGACTTGAAGGCTGTCCGAGAGAATTGGAGATGTTGCGGGTCCAGCTGTGGGTACAGTCATGGCCACAGTCGTGGGTACAGTTGTGGGATCCCATCCTGAGAACAGAATAGAGAGATGTGATTTTACCAAAGCATTTTAAAAATACCTTTAAAGGTGATGTGTGTAATTTTGGTGCCCCTCTATAATGACACCAAATTGAATTACAAAAGGAATGGCTTGTTTCAAAAACATTTTTCCAAACCCTTGCCCATCTTCCATTGTTTAGCTAGTCCGTCCATATTCACGTCATTTATTGACAACAGCTGACAGCTAAGACTGCCCAAACAAACAGAGAAATGTTGAATGTTGTGCCACAGCGCCAACCTACAAATGGATTTTTTACAGTATATTTGTCTATACATATTAAATCAATCTATTAACACGGACCAAGTATGCACAATCCCTGTCCAGATATTTTTAAACATTTCTAAAAACAGCAACAACAGCAGAATCATCTAAGCATGAAAAGTTTTTTTTGCTTGGTAAAGGAAAAATGACTTGCTATGACAGGGTAGAATTTGACAGTTTATATTTATTTAGAAATTCTAGCTTCCTTTCCAGAAGGTTTTTGGCTAGGTTGCATATTGCATAACCATGTATTTTAACTCTGACCAATAGGTAAATAGTCTTGAATAACTGCAGTTGGAATGCTTTATAATATAAGTGCCAAAGTGGTTTCGTTTCTCACAATAGATTCATCAAACCGTACCACTGCTCTCTACGTGAATGCTAACACTTTAACAGACCTATATAAAAAAGGTAAATGTGGCCGTTAGTTAACTACACTGTAATGTTCACTCCTGTCTGTTCATACACATATAACTGTGTGCTCATGACATGTACTGTAGGCAGGCCTCCAAAGTTTTTTACTCAGACTGTAAAAACGTTCATGCTTAGCAAGAGGTTTACACAGCGAGACAACCCCATTCACGACAACATGTGTTGTAGTCGCCCATCTGGCGATATACACGGGAATACAGAGGGCCAAAAGTCGGAAAGTACAAGTGAAGTGAAAATGTCTCTATATATTATTGATCAAATGAAGCATTGGTGAGTAACTTACAGTATTTCAAAACATAAAAACCTTACAATTTCAATATGTTGAACTATATAAACTCTAAACCTTAAAGGGTTAGTTCACCCAAAACTGAAAATTGTCATTAAAGGAGTTGTTGACTTTTCAAAAAAACTTTTGCTGATAATTTACTCACCCCCATGTCATCCAAGATGTCCATGTCTTTCTTTCTGAAGTCGAAAAGAAATTAAGGTTTTTGATGAAAACATTCCAGGATTTTTCTTCATATATTGGACTTTACTAGGAATCAAACTCTCCTGTTCGAACTCGTTCATCAAAATGAACAAATCTTTTTCCGAGTCAATTCGTTCGTTGAATGAACCAAATGACACGAAAAAAGGTTAGTTCATTTTGATAAACGAGTTCGAACAGGAGAGTCACGAACATGCATCACAGAACACAGCAAGGCGACTATTTGAGCTTATAAAACTTAAAGTTTTATTTTTTTTTATTTATTTATTTTTTTTTAAATGAGCGATCGTTTCACTTGATAAGACCCTTATTCATCATCTGGAATCATTTAAAGCCCTTTGAACAGTTTGCATTTTGCACTGAAACTGTCTTTTGGACCTTGAACCGCTTGATTCCCAGTAAAGTCCATTATATGGAGAAAATCCTGGAATGTTTTCATCAAAAACCTTAATTTCTTTTCGACTGAAGAAAGAAAGACATGGATATCTTGGATGATATGGGGGTGAGTACATTATCAACAAAAGTTTTTTGAAAAGTGAACTACTCCTTTAATGACTCACCCTCAAGTCGTTCCAAACCCCAAAACCTCCGTCCATCTTCAGAACACAGTTTAAGATATTTTAGATTTAGTCCGAGAGAGTTTTCTGTCGCTCTATTGAAAATGTATGTACGGTATACTGTCCTTGTCCAGAAAGGAAATAAAGACATCATCAAAGTAGTCCATGTGACATCAGTGGGTTAGTTAGAATGTTTTGAAGCATCGAAAATACATTTTGGTCCAAAAATAACAAAAACTACGACTTTAATCAGCGTTCTGTGGATCCGCGTTCTGTGACGTTGCTGACGCGTGTCTGGTGCGTCCGTGTATTCGGGTTCAAATAACTTCCTCTGCGTGGAAATCCTTAGACATTTTTGCGAAGATTGTTTTGTTTACAGCAGTGGTTCTCAAAGTGGGGTCCGCGGACCCCTGGTGGTCCGTGAGCTAAAGCCAGGGGGTCCGCGAAATAATTTATAACAACCTAACGTTTTTTCCGTGCTATAAGTCATGTTTTCTTTATCATCTGAAAACATGCTATTTATTCCTAAGTAACTTATATAATGCATTTAACATCAAAGTAGACACTTAAAGTGAATAGTTGAAATAAAGTCGTTATTTTTGTTGTTTTTTTGCGCACAAAAGTGTTCTCGTCGTTTGATAAACTTAAGATTGAGCCCCTGTAGTCACTTGGACTATTTTAACGATGTCTTTAATGACTTTTCGGGGACAGCAAGAGCTAGTCCCTCAAGAAGCCTATGGACTGTATGCAGGAGCGATCTTAATATCTTAAATATCTTAATTTGTGTTGCGAAGATGAACGAAGGTCTTACGGGGTTGGAACAACATGAGGGTGATAGGCCTATGCGTGTTCACTGCGAAGATGGCGAGTAAGCATCATCAACTTTATCTTTGTTGCTGACACTGACACTAGTTTATTAATAAACAATTCAAATGTTTCATGCATAATCATTACTTTTGCCGGTTCTTTGTGGCAAGCTTTATGCATACGTTGAAATGCGGAATAGGCAATTAAAAACGCTCATATGGTTTCTCTCCCATTTAATTAAATCAATATATGTGATTACTGATAATACAAATGGCTTAAATGATCTACTACTAGTCGACTAGAAAACTAGGACTCATTTTGAGGAATAAATGAACATAATAAACCTCTGTTCAGAGTGCCGCCGTGCTGGATTGTGTAGAGCGCTCATTAAATTTGAGGATTTATCGTGTTTAGGCTAAAAACAGGGCTGGCGCTTATCGCGGCTTGGAAAGAAACTGTATCTTGCAGTACATTTTAAACAAGGAAATATAGCGATTTGGCATGAAACGTTGATGGAGCAGTGGAAGGGTTCTGTCCACAGCAGAATGACACGACAAACTCATTTTTTTTTAAAAATGGCGTTTATCGCTTTTTGGAAAATAGCTCTTCAAATACTGACAGAATTCAAGTTTGATAAAAATCATCATTAAAGAAGAAAATTTCAAATGGCATTTAGAGGCTTTTGCATCTGAACTCTTCATATATTTTATATTTATTGCATGTTCTCAGAGGCATTTCACTAACAACATAAACATAAACACTTGTTTTCAATAGTAACCACCAATTGTTCTTCTTTCAGCATTTACTGCGTTTGATAATTTATGTTGTTAGTCTGATTTTATATCATCAGCATAATGCTGAAGTTATGCAGTGTTGTGTATGGACAAAGGCCCACACCCATCTCTCCTACTTCAGTGCCTTCATCTGTCAGTCTTCATCTTAAACCTACACACACGTCACAAGCGGGCCAGACAGAATATAAAATGGCTGAATACTTATGAAAACGGTTATGTTAATCAGGAATCTAAAACATAAGATAACAACCTGAGGGGGGAGTAAATGATGGAATGAGGTGAAGCCACCTACTTTTGCTCATGACAAGGCTACGACAGTACAACATCTCACTGCTTCTTTGTCTCGGTCTCAGTGTGTGTGGACGCGCAGCCAGCTGTTAGACGTTAGGGACGTGTCCTCTTTTCAGTGCAGCGCCTCTGATGTAAAACATCAGGCATCTTTTTCCTTTATAAAACAGCAGTGATCTTGAAACAGCACAAGAGGAAGCCATATCCCCCCACTAGCGCTTGTTTATATATTATAGTGGGGCGCTCTTGCCCTCCGCGCTCTTTCCCGGCCTACCCAGAGCTCTTATGTTTGTTTTGCGGTACTCTGCGGTAGAAGCCCGTTTAAGAGAAGTGCTTCAAGACCGGTTACATGAAACAAACCACAGCTAAAAGGAAAGCCACAAAATCCCTGGAGGTATGGGGTGCAAAATACGTAGATACCCGATGCAAAATTGGATTAAATGCATGTTAAGCTCTGATTTTGTGTGGCCTGTTTCCATTTTCCCTCTCAAGTGACGACTGAGGTTGTACAGACAGAGAGTTTAAACAATCCCCAGCAGGACAGTTACAGGGTTCAAAGGTCAGAGCCATTCTGGGGCAGGGGAACTGACCTGGAAACAGGTCAGTTAGTTTGCCGTTTTAAGGCACATATTTGAGCTAGGGTTAGGACAGACGTTTAACAGATGAAATGTGAGGCCACCCTGGAGAGAACAAATTATTCTGCTTCCACCCAGCTAGCAGAGAGAGAGAGAGAGAGAGAGAAAAGGTCGGCTCGGAGTCACAGCTGTTATGATATCACAGCAAAACAGACGCCTCCCTATCAAAACAATACTGTGTGTACTGTATATGTATATGCTGGACTCTTGCATTATCAATACATGATTTTGACCAAAAATTATTGATGGAAATAACATCACAACATTTATTTCCATGAAGAGATGCATCAATGTTTGGTCAAGATGTGTGAAAATGATTCTTCATGATCCTCACAACCATCCTTTCACAATCTGAGCCTGATTAATCATGATAATCACATTATCATCCCGGAATATGGCCATAACGTGTCTCACGCATGTTTGTTTGAGAAATGAAAAGCTACACACTCCATCAATTAGGCCGTGTGTCCACCAAAGCGGTTTTCCATGCGCCTGGCGTATCTTTTCAATGGTTTTCAATGGGAGTGCCGCGTTTTTTTAAACGCCATGAGCGCAACGAGCGTTTTTTTACTGGTCGCCGAGAGTTGAAAAATGTTCAACTTTGGATAAAACGCAGCGCTCATCACTGTCACTTCTTACCCAGCTGCCCAATCACAGTGGAGGAGGGGCGGGACTAAACCACACCGACCAACTGTCACAACATTCTTTCAGTACGACATCAACCAGCAGAGCTAAGCGAACAAAATGGATGAAAAATACCTTTTTAGTATGAAACAAATTATCTCTGAAATCACTTACAAGTAAACTGTGCTGCGGATATTCTGTATCATAGCAACGAATCGTCTCGACGGAAAAATCGCTGCGCTGCCAAGCGCTCTCAAGCGCCCAAAGCTTGGCGTCTTCAGCAGAGCGTCTGACGTTTTTGGCTTGCTAAAAATGCTTCGGTGGACTTAGGCCGTGTGTCCACCAAAGAGTTTTTAGCCAGCTGAAAACGCCAGACGGAAGACGCCATGTTTTGGGCGCTTGAAAGCGTTTTGGCAGCGCAGCGTTTTTTCCTTTGAGACGTTTCATTGCTATGATACAGAATATCCGCAGCAGTTTGAATGCTGTGACAGTTGGTTGGTGTGGTAATAGTCCCGCCCCTCCTCCACTGTGATTGGACGGCTAGGTAAAAAATGACTGATTAGCGCTGCGTTTTATCCAAAGTTGAACATTTTTCAACTCTCAGCGACCAGTAAAAACGCTGGGCGCTTGGCGCCTCAGCGTGAAGAAAACGCTCAGCGTCTCGTTACGCTCATGGCGTTTAAAAAACGCGGCGAATTGAAAATTGAAATTGAAAACTGAAAATTTAAAATTGAGAATTGAAAACATACGTCAGGCGAGTGTAAAAACGCTTTGGTGGACAAACGGCCTTAGGGTTAGAAGAACTGTTGCCAAACATATAACATGCTAGAAACATCAGTGAAATAATGATTTATATATATATATATTTTAACAGGCAGTTTATTTGTTGCATAATTGTTTGTTTAATAAATGTTGCTGACCATGTAAAGCATTTTGGTCAACGTGTTTATTTTAATATTGTGCAAAGTTATTTCTTCTTGTTTTTTCTTTTGATTTCTGGATGCCATGTTTCCGTGAGATTCACTTAATACATTTTAGCATTCGTTTTTCTCCCCCTGAGCCTTTCACGAAGACATACCTTTGAAACAGTAGGCTCCTAGCTTCTCGCTCGGTAAAGGAAATCCCGTCTGGTTGCGGAAGCGATACATAGTCCTCACACCCAGCTGTCCATTGCCGCACTGAGTTCTGGGTACAGCGATGGGGTAGCGGGCGCTGCCGTCAGACAGCCAGCCGTAGTCGCAGCGGTCCAAGCCGTCTCTCCAGGCGGCATGCAGGTGACCAGGAGATGCTAAAACAGTGTCCTGTCTTTCACACACTGCCCTGGCCTCATCCAGAGTCACCTTAGCATCCGCAGCAGAAAAGAACACCTCACCTGAGGTCAGACACACACAATAACATTATACATATTACACAGCACTAGGCATCATGGACATACAGCCGACACAAATGCTAACCCAAATACAGCAGAATTAAGATCAGTTTTGCCAAAATCTAAAGCACCACTGGATGTTCTTAAAGCAATAGTATTCATAGGTGTATATGACTTCAAAAACTCAGACACTATTCCATGCCATTGAAAAGCTCGGAAGAGCCAGGCTATTATTTAATACAACTCCAGTTGTGTTCGGCTGAAAGAAGAAAGTCATATACACCAATGAATTATGGGATAATTTTCATTTTTTGGGTGAACCTTTAACAAATAAGGCAACCCTACAATGCATTGCTATGGAATGGAAACGTAACTTAAATTACATTAAATATTTGGACCATTATGATATTTTCCCTTCAAATTGAGACATTTGCTCTATAAATTCGAATAACGGCAATGAAAATAAAAATTCCATTTCCTTTTTTATTTAAAGAGAAAAAGATGAAATGATGATATTTTTTAGATAAAATAATAAAAGACATTTGCGCATGCTAATATTTGTTATATTTTTCTTTCAGAAATTTTTGGGGTAACATGTTTCCGTAAAAGTTCACCAAGTAAGTTCTAGTTTTTTTTTCTTAGTATTGTTCTTTTGCAAGAGAATATTGAAGTAAATTAAAGATGTGATTACCATTAAAGGCGCACATGGATATTGTATTTGTATATCTATTTTCTATTGATTGAAAAATCATGTAGATCATTAAGATTTTTTTTTTTTTTTTTTTTCAAAATTACATTTTCCCTTCAAATTTTCATTACTGCAATGATGAAATAAAACATTTAGGTGTTTTTTGCGTTGCCATAGAATTTCAAAGTTTGAGCGTGTGAACAGCTCGGAGCAGTATCTGTCATCTCATAATTATAGTAATTCTGACAAGACGTGAACGCAGCATGAGTCTGATTTCTAAACTTACCCTGAAGTTTTCCTACGTAGCAGTACACATCATACATTTCGGAGGAATTTCTGAGTCCGTATGTTCTGACTCCTGGCTTTAGTATCATATCGCCATAGCAACCTTCCCGTGGCTTTGTTATCGGGTATCTGCGGAGAGACCAACCCCAGATGTGGTTGTTGTATCAGCAATATTCAAATGTTGATAACATGATTTGATAGTGTGGAGCTAAAGAAATCACCTGACGGTTTGGTCTGCCAGCCATCCGGCGTCGCACTGGTCGAATCCGTCCTCCCAGGCTGAATAAAGCTGCTCAGGGGTGGCGATGGTGGCATCCACATCCGTGCAGACCTGCTTGGCGCTTTCGAAATCTAAACTGTAGCGACTGCTGTTGGCACGGTAATGAAACACAACACCTATGAAAAAACATAAATCAAGTTCATGAACCAAAAGCAAGAACAAAAGTGATTTGATCAAATTTAATACATAGCAATATTGTTTTGTTTTTCCATGACAAGAACACCATCTAAACTAGTAGAGCTGCATGATTCGGCATAAATTGAGAAACATAATTTTTTTGTGTTTCAAATAAAGATTGTGATTCTACCACGATTCTGAACTGACAATTGTTCTGATGATATGTCAATTGTTGATTTTTTGTTTTGTTTCAATCGTGTTGAATGAATGATTCAATGACTCTCTCATAAATACTTCACTTGTTTTATTATTGGATGAATCGTCATTTTTTAACAAATCTCCTGAATGAATGATTCAATGTCAAATAAATGTTTTAACAGTCACTTGTCGCCACCTACTGGTGTAACAATCGTTACACGAAGCGGCAAGTTTAATTGTTTTGATCGCTTCCAAAAACATAAGTGTTTATGTCCGAACTATAAACTTTGGTCCCACTTTATATTAAGTGGCTTTAAGTATGTAATTACATTGAAATTAATAATTTGATACAATGGACTTATTGTGTACATACATACATGTTTTTACATTGTACTTAGATTTTAAAATTCCAACATGTACTTACAGCTATAATTAATTTATGTAATTACATTTGCAATTACACAGTTGATCCTTCCCTCACACCTTAAAGGGTTAGTTCACCCAAAAATGAAAATTAAGTCATTAATTACTCACCCCCATGCTGTTCCAACCCCGTAAGACCTTCGTTCATCTTCGGAACACAAATAAAGATATTTTTGATTGAATCTGAGAGCTAGATCAGTCCTATATAGACTGCCTAAGGGACTGGCTCTTGACGGCACATAAAGTCATTAAAGAAAAGGTTTAAATATCCCATGTGCCTACAGCGGCTCAATTATAAGTTTATCAAGCGACGAGACTACTTTTTGTGTGAAAAAAACATAAATAACGACTTTATTCCACTATTCCATTACTTCCTTATGGGCGCCCCAGGTGAAAAAGATGTACAATTAAGTGTATTAAAAATGCATTACATTATATTTGTATTGCATTAAAAACATATTTAAGTACATTTAAGTACATTTGAGCAGCCGGTAACAAGAAGTAGACGAATGAGAACGTCCTCGTCTCAGTTCTCGCGCATGCGCCCATAAGGAAGTAATGGAATAGTGGAATAAAGTCGTTATTTATGTTTTTTTCGCACAAAAAGTATTCTCGTCGCTTGATAAACTTATAATTGAGCCGCTGTAGGCACATGGAATATTTAAACCTTTTCTTTAATGACTTTATGGGCCGTCAAGAGCCAGTCCCTTAGGCAGTCTATGTAGGACTGATCTAGCTCTCAGATTCAATCAAAAATATCTTTATTTGTGTTCCGAAGATGAACGAAGGTCTTACGGGGTTGGAACAGCATGGGGGTGAGTAATTAATGACTTAATTTTCATTTTTGGGTGAACTAACCCTTTAACCTACCCTTAAACCAACCCATACCACCACACCTGTCCCTAACCTTACCCATATTACACCTCAATAGCAGCAAAAGTGTTTTACAAGACAACAGGGACACAATAATACATTGTACTTATTGTTCAATGTAAGTACCTAGTACTTAAAGCCACTTAATATAAAGTGGGACCTAAACTTTTATCCCAGTTCTTTTTCATTTGTGACACAGACTAACAACCATGCCACGCTCAAAATTGAGAAAAGATTTGTTCACCATTTTTCACTAAGACTTAATACATGGATGAAATTTTTCCAAAAGAGAGTTTTACTGTCCAAATTGTCTAACAGCTATGGCATGCAAATAAATAAATAAATAAATGAAGACTTTTGGTTCCTAAATCACTGGGATTTGTTTCCTAGACAAACCACACAATGTCAGTTTAGCACAAACATGCTTGAGTTTCATAATACTTCAGCCCATTTAAGCAAAAACTAGTGATATTGTTTTAGCAAACACTTCTAATCAGACTCTCAGAACAGGCCGTGCAGTCGGGCTCTGTAATTTGTCCTTATATGGGCTTTTCTAGTATTTTCTGGGTACATTAGCAAAACTGCTGGGTAAGCAGGCCAGGTTCTGAATGCTCTTTCCTCAGAGGGATGGCAGTGTTGGCTTTTTTTGGGCAAGCGCTACCTTTGAGTGGCAATCAGGGCTGCCCGGGCCTCAACGGAGGGCATTGAGTGTATTTGGCAGGAAGACTACAGCTCTCTACGGGCCTACAAACACTCCAATACCACCGTTTCACCTGAGCCAGATGTGCTCATGTTTTACTGCACACAACTGGGCATCGTAATGCAGTAAACAAATAAAGTGTTGTTTGTCACCTAAGAAAATCTTTAGCATGGTTTCGTTCACATCTTCTGTTGAAGTTCCAGGTTCAATACAAGTTAGTTTATTGCATGTACCATGTTTAAAGGGATAGTTCACCCAAAAATGAAAATTATTTAATTACTTATTCACCCTCATATCTTCTGAACACAAATTAAATGTTCATTTTTGGGTGAACTATCCCTTTTATTGTTGGATATTCAGTGTATTATTGAACTGATTTGAAAAAAAACAAAAACAACAACAACATTTGTTCTGTCAATTTGTCTTGAACTGAAACGACATTCATTTAAAGGTCCAGTAAGTGATTTCTGAGAAATGTTGTTGAAACATTTGTGAATATTTGCTAGATGTTTGTTGTGTGTGTGCGGAAAAAGAAAAGAAAAAAAACGTTGTGTTTGTACATAGCCCTGGCAGTGTAAATAGGACAAAAAACAAGGGGGATTGAACCAATCAACGGAGCACCATAGAGCCAATCAGAAATAAGGGGCGGAGAGAGAGAGTGGGCAAGCGGGATATTTACAGAAAGACTGTAGAAAGAGTGATAGCTGAGAAAAACTCAGAGGAATATAACTGAAAGAAGAAGGGTTACAACCAGGCAAGAGCTTTGTAACCCATGTTAATATTAAAAAAGCTTTCCAATGCTGGAGAGACCTCAGTGGGAAGGCCTGAAAACAGACGCAGAGGATGCTTTGTTTTTGCTTGATACGCGAGTAACATTGGTTTTGCAATGGTTCACAGATCCAAGATATGCTGTTATATGCTATTGTCATTGTTGAATCACAGCTGATACTTGCGCAAGATATACCAGCAGTTGCATCTGTTGTATAGTTCCTTATTTTGGGGGCGGAGCTATGAAGGAAGGGGTGTGTTTGTTTGGGTGTCGATTTTAAATCAACAGTGATTCTCAGAAATCACTTACTGCACCTTTAATACGTGACTCCATCTACAAAGCAAAGTGATACCGATTCACATCATCTTAACCAAGGTCTCATTTTACACCAGTTAGGCTTAGGGTGAACGATTTTTCCAGACATTTGTTCATAATGCAGTCATTCGGCAAACCAAAAAAAGAGCAAACATTTTCTTGCGTTGGTTAAAACACAAATCGTTCACCCTTCATTTATATTATTTTGAAACACAATAGGGCCTTGTCAAGATTCGAGGTAAAACCAGACTCTGAAAGTGATTTTTCCAGACTCTAAAGCAAAATAATCGTTCAGCCCTTGTCTCCTGACAGGAACGCTGTTCCATTTTGGCTTTCGATGACTAATTACATCATCACATGTGCTTACAAGAGTAAAAAAAAAACGCAGCACATCTGAGAGCCATTGCTGAACGGGTTTGCCAATGGAAACCGTTCAAGATGGAGGAAGCTAAAGAAACACAATTTCACTGAAGGGGATTTTTAACGAAATCGCTCCTCTGTCGTTATCGTTATAGTAGTGGTGTGGACTCAGAACACGGAAGTCTAATTTGCCGTTTGGTTCCTTCGAGAATTTCCTATCGGGTTTTATAATGGAGTTTTTCATAAAAGTAAAGTAAAGTCTGTGGTAAACTTTACGACAGTTAGTTTAGTTATGTTACGACAGTTAGTTATGACGTTTTGTTCTACAACGTCAATTGACAAAGGTGGAGACCAGTCCAAGTCAAGACCGAGTCCAAAAAGGTTCGAGTCCGAGTCAAGACCGAGTCCAGGACAGGAAAAAAAAAAAGTCTATGCATGACATTATCAAGACAGTAATTTTAGGTTATTATTTGTTGATCTAAAAGCAAAAGTGTCACAACACCCAGGATTTTTAAGTAGTAGCTCGTGAGATTGTAACTATAGTAACAGCATGAGAAGACGCACTCCGTTGTAGTGAGCACTTGGTCGGTTAATTTTGGCTTTTTCTAAGTTAACGTTACCCTAATAGGCTAGTAATAAATGAACACACATACAAAAATGTCTTTCGTTCTGTAGGCGTCCTGGAGAATTGTCGATTTAAAACTGAAGAAATCTTCACCGATGTCAGATAACATTAACGTTAACCAAATCAACCACCTTTAACGCAAATATGACGCACACACACCCACACAGCTAGCTACTACCACCATACGTAATCGAACTTATAACTTAATGACGTTAGGCTGATGCAAAGTTTACAAATGCAAAATTAACAGGCATGCAGACACAGAGCGTGACGTGCGAGGATAATCTAGTGTGATTGGTTATTAGGTGGCCAGTGCTTGACTTTTTCTTCAATATTATTAACATAATAAAAAGACACCTGGACTCGGTCGAGACCAAAAGCCATATTTGGCAAGACCAAGTCCGAATACCAGCGAGTCCGAGACAAGTCCAAGACCATAGAAAAACGGTCTCGAGTCCAAGACCGGCCTTGAGTACTACAGCCCTGTCAATTACACACACCCATAGCGAATACACGATTTTTGAAAATTTACGTTTTTCCATTCCGCCATTGGCGCTATAAAACATCTCCTGAAAGAGTAAACACAAGCGAAAAAGAAGCAGAAACAAGCGATATCATTTGCAAGCAGATGCAAATGTAAAATAACGTGATCATCAACATTAAACAGCATATAAATCAAAACCGCCTAATGTTACTGAATGAAATGTCGACTCAGGACGAGCTATAGGACTGTGTAGCTTTGGGGGTGTTGATGGACTCGATCTACTCCATCTGTGTTTTGATCATTGCTCTGAATCCCATCCAGACGTACTCTTTGATTTTCTCAGCTTTTTGCTTTTTCAATGAAAACGAAACACATTCAAGACAGTGTTGATAACAAAAAGAATGCATTAAGCTAGAATAAAACATATTGCATGTTCATATACTCCAACTACAAAATATACTGGGGGCCATGAAACTTTCGTAAAATAATTGACCCTTCGCCATCCCTACAGTAGTTACTGTTGCTACGCCTGTCCAGCTTTTGCGACATCTATTATAGTGTGGATGCCATTTCCAATGAGATATTTAGTAATTTTTGGCAAACAAGTGAAATATCTGAGTGAGCAAGACAAAAGGGACTGCAGTATTTCATTCGAGGGATATATTCACGGCATAATATGCAACTTATGAGAGAATAATTTCGTAAAAATTGAACGTTATAGTCCCAGCACAAGCAGCAACCGCGTCATTTGCTGACCATTCAAATGGGAAACACAATCTTAAGTTTATCAAACGACAAGAACACTTTTGTGCGCAAAAAACAACAAAAATAACGACTTTATTTCAACTATTCACTTCCTTCTCCATGAGCCTGTAGTCAGTTAACGTAGTGTGATTGCGTAGAGCTACGTCACACGTAGGCTCACTATTGGCCGACGCTGGTCATGTGTGTGTGATGCGTGTGACGTACAATAACAGAAGCTTACTCTATTAAACTAGTAACCTGACTCGCGCAGAGGGAGAAATAAACGAATAGTTGAAATAAAGTCGTTATTTTTGTTGTTTTTTTGCGCACAAAAGTGTTCTCGTCGTTTGATAAACTTAAGATTGAGCCCCTGTAGTCACTTGGACTATTTTAACGATGTCTTTAATGACTTTTCGAGGACAGCAAGAGCCAGTCCCTCAAGAAGCCTATGGACTGTATGCAGGAGCGATCTTAATATCTTAAATATCTTAATTTGTGTTCCGAAGATGAACGAAGGTCTTACGGGGTTGGAACAACATGAGGGTGAGTAAATACTGACAGAATTTTCATTTTTGGGTGAACTAACCCTTTAAGGGGTAAAGTTAGTAGGACATCGATTAACAAAATGCTGAAATATATTTTAAAGTATGCCAGTGAGCCTCCGTCTTGTCTTTAAAGGGATACTCCACTTTTTTTTGGAAATAGGCTAATTTTAATGAGTTAATCAGTTGGGTTTTACTGTTTTCGAATAGATTCAGCCGATTTTTAGATATTTAGAAGAAGATCAGTATCCAGACCGTTTCTGGTCTCATTGACTACCATAGTAGGAAAAAATCTATGGCAGTCAATGAGAACAGTAACTGTCTGGTAACTGATATTATTCTAAATATCAGAAAATCGGCCGAATGGATTTGAAAACGGTAAAACTCAACTGTTTAATTCTGAGGGAGTTGTAAAATGAGCCTATTTCCAAAAAAGCGGAATAGTCTTATTTTACGTTATATCATTATGACCAAAGAACCGTCAATACTTCCAAGCAATAGGTGTTTTTGTTAACCACGTCGACATTTACCGGTAGTTGTGAATGGGTCTCCCGCACTGCTTGATCACGCCCAACATTTCTCCCCTTGGCTTTTGGATTTTCTGGAAGGAAAACAATTCCTCTCCCCCGTCCAAACTTTTAGGATACCGGTATCAGATTTGCACAATGTATACGCACAATGCTTCAGGATGTTTCCCTTGTTCGAAAGCTTTCCAGACCTCCTGCGCATAGTTACAGTTGCTAAGACATGATTGGCCAGTGGCGGTTTTCGGGCGTGGCTTAGCGAAGGGTCAATTAAAAATGCTGACAACTTTTTGAAGAAACGCTAGCGTAGACAGTTTGGGGTGTGAGTGTGTGCAGTGTACATCAACGTTATGTTTACCATAGGCTTTATTTCCTACAAATTGAAAAAAAGGAAATTCTTGAATTAGACTTCCGGGTTCTGACGTCATTCCTGCACAACTCAATTTAGAACGATTTCTAACTAAACCTTTATCATTCTCGTCCTTGGAGTGAACGGGCCTAAAGAGGTCTTGGTAACGTCAAATGAAAAAAGAAAGTCATTAGCAAATACTGCAATTAGCATATGCATTACTTTCGAAATTAGCATAAGGAGAATCACTGACCACTGACGTCCAGGGAGACGGTGTCTTGAGTGTCTTCGATGCCGCGCATAACCTCGCAGCGGTAGACGCCCGCATCACTGGCCCTGAGGTTCATTACGGTCAGAGACGCGTCGCCCTGGTTCTCGGAGAGGCTGGGAAGAGACACCCTGTCTTTAAACCCCTGGCCGATCTTGATGATCCCGTTCTGGGCCACTATCACTATGCTTTCCTCATCCCCCTCGAGTTTAGTCCACTTGATGCGCAGATGGTCATCGGTGGGTGTGCTGGGGGTGTCGGTCAGGGCGGGGAGGATGGAGAAATGGCAGGGCAAGACCACCTGCTCCGCCAGAGACCCTCGGACCGGAAGACTCCTCTCCACCTTCATCCTAGGGGCCGAGTCTGGAAACAAGAAGCAGATGGAGGAGAGGAACCCAGACTCATCATATCATCTTCTAGAAGCTTTTACTAACACACACTTTGACACCAAACTCAAACATTCTGTTTCCAGAGAGACTCAATATTTTCACCTTAATTGTGGGATTAAAAGAAACATTCAACATGTCATAGTTTCATAAACCAAAAGCACTGCAGTTTATCTCTCATACAGCATCATAACAGACCAGGGTTATTAAGGTTAATAAGATTTACCTGAAACAAAAATATAAAAACATTTAAACATTTTTCAATTTTGTTTAGTTTGAAATACTAAAGTAAATACAATTAAATAAACTAAAACTTAATGAAAACTATATAGGCTAGACATACAGTATACCCTAGTATAATAAAACAAAAACAATAACAGAATATCAATAATATTACAATAACACTGTAGCAGACAGCATGTAGTCGTTTAACACAGGAAGTGTTGAGAAATTTGAGATTGGTTTTCAATGATTACTAGGGATGCATGATACATCATCATAACTGCCACTGGTCGATATTTCAGATTTGTAATGCATGGCGTTGGTTCATTTCTCCTAATTTTAATTCTATTCATCTATTTCTCATTTAACATCAATCTTTAAAAACTACAATATTTTAATAGCTCAAAATAATTCTAATCTTTAACAAAAACTAACTAAATGAATATTTTTATACAAGTGAAAATTTTATTAAAATATGTATTAATCTTATTATATATATATATACACACACACTCTAAACAAACTGGGTTGTTTTAACCAAAATTTGGGTAAAATATGGACAAACCCACAAGCTGGGTTAACCCAACTTCAACTATCATTTTTTAACTGTATATTTTTTTTATTGCATTTTTAACCCAACATTTGGGTTTGTCCATATTTGAAACAACCCAGCATTTTTTAGAGTATATATATATATATACATACACTGAGTATAGTAAAAATATGATGATATAATAATTAAGTATAAATATAATTAATAAATAATAAATTGAAAATATTTTTATGTTTAATAATTAAATAAACAAGATTAAAAAACATTATAACACCATTATAATGTACAATATAAGTCACATTATTTAATAAATGTATATATGTAATTATTAAAATAAATAATAATTATTAAATCATATTTAAAGTATATATTTATATGTAATTGTATCATTTTCATTTATTTTCCATTTTAAAGATTACAAATTAATTTACATGAAAGTGCTTTATTTTTAATATATTTTTACAAAGTAGTATACACATTTTTTATATATATTTGCCATTTATTGTTATCAGCCATTACATTAAAATGATTATTGGCTAATCAGTTTTGGCATACATTTGAATATCTGTGCATCCTATATTTATTTTATAGGTTGGGAGAGGCGAAGTAAATGTAAAAAGGAAACGTTTATAATAATGTGGAAAAAGTAAAATTGCCACACACACACACACCCACTCATAAACTCACCATCTTGGGTTACAGCGCTGCAGGCACAGACCAACCAGAGGATGTGCTTAGCGTCCAATAACATCTCAAATCTGGAAATAAAGAAAGCTTTACTCTACTTTTGCATTTGTAGCTACAGATTAGCTACTTCCAACGTGGGTTGATTGACAAACTGTTTCTGTTTCATGTCTGTCTCTTTGTTCCAGGTCCAATAGGTCTTTAAACACCCACACTCTGTTTGCTTTCTTGTCTCACTTTATCAATTAGGTTTAGCAGTCAAACAGAGAACGAGTTTATGAAAGCTTGATTAGTTAGCGGTTAAAAAAAGACTGCAGCATATGTTCTTAATAGTCCTACCTCACCTCAGAAATATACGGTTCATCCTGTGACAGCTGTGTCCAAAACCCATGACAGTCAAACTGGATCACACACGCCCTACTATCAAACACTAGAGCGACATATAAAGCATCTTTACGCGTCGCTCTCTAACAATTAACATCGCACGCGCTAAAGCCAGTCTATGCGTAATGTAGACAGATCAATCAAATCCAAAAGCTTATCTGAACCCCAGGACCACTGATATCACACACTCTCAACTATCTGTATTAAAGCAGAACTGCCATTAAAATGATAATGATGAGATAATGAAAAGTGGACCTCCACTGATATGATGCCAAGCGTGAACAAAGCTTCAGGGTGACAGACAATCAAACGAGAAACAAATGGATGCACTGAGGCAAATATGATCTAATATAAAACACAGGTTTAATTAGTTAAAACTGACATTTTATTAAAACAATTAGGCTACTTGTTAATGTGCCGTAATATCAAGTATCAGCATTGTAAATAATTATAACAATAATAGGCTACTTACTTATTTTTCCCAGTAGACAATATTGACACGCTATTCCCGATTCTCCAAATGTATCTGATGCTCCAACAGCCAGCCGCAGAAGTCAGTGCTCTTTCTTCCCCTGATGCCCACGAAAAGACTGGAGACATGAGCCGGCAGCAAGTTCAAATTCCATGTCCACCCATGATTTCGTCAGTTTCCAGAGGAGGGGCAGAGAGTGCCCACCCAAAACGAATCTGATCCATCCTGCTGACTGAAGAGGAACAGAGATGTTCTGCGCTCTTAATCTTGGTGCAAACTTGATTTTGAATCACCGATTAAGCTAGTCTGAACATACATTGTGGGACATAAAGAAGAAGAAACAAAGTTTGCATTGCGGACAATCTCAGAGCTGCAGAGAAAACTTCCGCGCAAACAAAGTCCAAAGCATCTGCTCGTAAAGTCCACGTAACAGCTAAGATACAGTGACAGTCTTCGTAAATTAAATCAACAATCATATAGATGATATGCACAGAGCACTCGCACTCCTAACCGTTAAGCTGTTCTCTGTATTACGCGGAGTCGCGCGTAAAAGCGCATCTGCATCTCTGACAGGGCACTGATAATCAGACATGCTGAAGGTGCTGATGGAGTAAATGGGTTATTAAAGGTGTGTGAAAGTGACCAAATTGCTCTTGTTAGCTGATGTGAATGCTCTAGTCCGCTTTTAAGAGCTTCCCTGAGCTTTCCACACGGGGGAGAGATACACCGTTACCTCTGCTAGAAATAACCCGCACTATTCTTTAGATTCAGCGATTGCAAGATTATTGGTAAAAGACCATTAGCATTCAAATTTTTGGGGTCGGTAGGGTTTGATCACGAATCACGATGGCTGCATTCATTTGAAAATAGTAAAAATATTAATATTGTGACATATAACTGTTCAAGAATATTTAAAAAAACATTTTGACGCTGAATTTTCAGCATCATACTCCAGTTTCCAGTCACATGATCCATCAGAAATCATTCTAATGTGATGATTTGCTGCTCAAGAAACATTTCTTATTAGAACGAGTGTTGAAAATGGTTGTGCTGCTTAATATTTTTGTGGAAACCATGAAAAAAAATTTCAGGATGCAAAGTTCAAAAGAACAGAATTTATTTGAAATATAATTCATTTCTAAAAACAAAAGTCATTGGCATTTTATCAATTGAATGCTGAACAAAAACATTTATTAAAAAAAAATCTAACTTGCCTTTAAACAGTGTATGTAAAGAGTTATTGTACAGTTCATACAATATATGATCTATTCCCTTTTACTATAAAGCAAATTGTATGATCATAAGTTTTATCCATTGTTAATCAAATTTGAGTTTTACTACACAAACAAACTGTATCCATAATAATAAAAGACTGTCAAATTTTCTAAAGAACATGATTGGTGCTTACCTGTCTTGATGATAGGGTGTTGTCAGTGGTTTCCATTCTGAATCACAGACATAATATACATAGATTCCTCATTAGCGGCTGTTCTTTGGGCCGGCCCGTAAACATTCAAGAGCAAGTTGACTGTCTGCAACTGTAGTTAGAAGTATGATTATCTATATCTGTAAGACTTCAGCAGATGATTTTGCTAAACTAACACAAGACGACATAAAAAATGTGGCATAGCAAAAAATCCTGTAATATTGAGATACTGTATATACAAAAACACAAACCGACACTTTCTCACCAGTGACAGGTTATCCCATTCTTTTGTGAATTTAAATCTTGGCGGTTTGAGCACTTGAATGTGGTTTCTACATATCTGAGTAGTTTCAGCATGTTGCTATGCAGTTGCTAAGGTGTTCTCATGGATTGGAGGTAGTTATCTAAAGAGTTCACTCACACCAGTCCGATGTCAGTAATATTCTGATGTCTATGGCTTGGGATCTTTCTTCAATTCAACTTTTGGAATTCAACCCACTTTGGAGAAAAACAGGCATAAACCAGTCAAAGCTGGTTTGCTGGTCTTAGCTGGTTTAAATATGCTCTATCCAGCTGATCCAATTAAAAAAAGTGCCCAAAACCTCTTCAAAATCAGCTAACAGTCCTGCCTGAAGACCAAAAGATCAGCTTAGGCTGGTTTAAGATGTCTTTCTTTAATCAGAGATGTAGTATAGTATAGTAGTATGTAGTATAGTATAGAATAGTGGTTGTAGTAGGCTGGTTTAAGATGTCTTTCTTTAAGCAGAGATGTATAATATAGTAGTATGTAGTATAGTATAGTAGTAGTATGTAGTATAGGATAGAATAGTGGTTGTAGTAGGCTGGTTTAAGATGTCTTTCTTTAAGCAGAGATGTAGTATCGTATAGTAGTATGTAGTATAGTAGTATAGTATAGTAGAATGTGGTATAGTATAGAACAGTGGTTGTAGTAGGCTAGTTTAAGATGTCTTTCTTTAAGCAGAGATGTAGTATAGTATAGTAGTATGTAGTATAGTATAGTAGTATGTAGTATAGTACAGAATAGTGGTTGTAGTAGGCTGGTTTAAGATGTCTTTCTTTAAGCAGAGATGTAGTATAGTATCGTATAGTAGTATGTAGTATAGTATAGTAGTATAGTATAGTAGAATGTGGTATAGTATAGAACAGTGGTTGAAGTAGGCTAGTTTAAGATGTCTTTCTTTAAGCAGAGATGTAGTATAGTATAGTATTATGTAGTATAGTATAGTAGTATGTAGTATAGTATAGTAATACAGTATAGTAGTATGTAGTATGTAGTATAGAATAGTGGTTGTAGTAGGCTAGTTTAAGATGTCTTTCTTTAAGCAGAGATGTAGTATAGTATCGTATAGTAGTATGTAGTATAGTAGTATAGTATAGTAGAATGTGGTATAGTATAGAACAGTGGTTGTAGTAGGCTAGTTTAAGATGTCTTTCTTTAAGCAGAGATGTAGTATAGTATAGTAGTATAGTATAGTAGTATGTAGTGTAGTATAGAATAGTGGTTGTAGTAGGCTAGTTTAAGATGTCTTTCTTTAAGCAGAGATGTAGTATAGTATAGTAGTATAGTATAGTAATACAGCATAGTAGTATGTAGTGTAGTATAGAATAGTGGTTGTAGTAGGCTCGTTTAAGATGTCTTAAAGCAGAGATGTAGTATAGTATACTAGTATGTAGTATAGTATAGTAGTGTGTAGTATAGTAGTATAGTATAGAATAGTGGTTGTAGTAGGCTGGTTTAAGATGTCTTTCTTTAAGCAGAGACGTAGTATAGTATAGTAGTATGTAATATAGTATAGTATGTAGTATAGTATAGTAGTATGTAGTATAGTATAGAACAGTGGTTGTAGTAGGCTGGTTTAAGATGTCTTTCTTTAAGCAGAGATGTAGTATAGTGTAGTATGTAGAATAGTATAGTAGTATGTAGTATAGTATAGTAGTATGAAGTATAGTGTAGAATAGTGGATGTAGTAGGCTGGTTTAAGATGTCTTTATGCAGAGATGTAGTATAGTGTAGTACAGTAGTATGTAGTATAGTATAGTAGTATGTAGTATAGTGTAGAATAGTGGATGTAGTAGGCTGGTTTAAGATGTCTTTAAGCAGAGATGTAGTATAGTATAGTAGTACAGTAGTATGTAGAATAGTATAGTAGTACAGTATAGTAGTATGTAGTATAGTATAGAATTGTGGTTGTAGTAGGCTGGTTTAAGATGTCTTTAAGCAGAGATGTAGTATAGTATAGTAGTGTGTAGTATAGTAGTATGTAGTATAGTATAGAATAGTGGTTGTAGTAGGCTGGTTTAAAATGCCTTTCTTTAAGCAGATATGTAGTATAGTATAGTATAGTATAGTAGTATGCAGTATAGTATAGAATAGTTCAGCATAACTAATGCAACAATGCATGCAATTTGAGAATGTAGGGTTGGGGTTAAATGCATTACGAAAGGAAGAACACTACGTAGGGAATGAGAAAAACAAATCTTTATTCACATTTATTATATTTATCACACCTTAAAGTTAAAAATGGACTAATTTCTTATTATTAAAGCGTTCTTTCATTGTTTAATATTGCAGCATGGAAGCTTGTTTCCGCCTTTTTTAACTTAGCGATACATAAAATTGGGATTGCGAGAAAAAAAAAAGTCAGAATTGTGAGATCTAAACTCACAATAAAAAATACAAAAGGTAATTGTGGCTTTTATCTCACAATTCGAACTTTTTTTGTCACGATTGCGATTATATCTCGTGATTCAGACCCACCCCAGAATTTAAATATAAAATTGGAATTGGGAGAAAAAAAGTCAGTATTGTGAGATATAACGCCTTTTATCTCGCGATTCCGAATTTTTCCAGAATTGTGAAATAATTGGAATTGCAAGAAAAAAGTCTGATATGTGAGAAAAAGTAATTGCGCCGTTTTATCTTGTGATCTCACAATTGAGACTTTTCCACTCAGAATTGATATAAACTCACAACCACAAGAAAAAAAATATATATTTCAAGGAGGAAACAAGCTTCTATATTGTAGAACCATTTCACTGTAAAAAGTACTTTAAAAATGCATAATTTTATTGCTCATATAGTTTAAAAACAGTACAAAAGTCATGCTTATCATGAATGGTGCTCATTAGACCCCAAAGAGGGTCATATATCATCGAACAGGTCATCTGGATCAAGGTTCGCAGCAGCGGATGCTGGTTTCCATTGGGCTTTTGACGTTTTGCTCGTTCCGGCTTTGGCATCTTCCGTCGGCTTCTCTCTAAAATTACAAAGTGAAGGAACAACTGTCAGCGGAAGGTGGAGGTTAAATGCAGAGCAGAAGCTGGTATAAGTCATGACACTGGAGTAACGTCTTACTGCTGCCTGATTAGAGTGACCCGGTCCAACAGGATTCTGCCACAGGCTCCTTAAAACAGGGTCAAGTCTAAACGCTGTACAGTTCACCCTGCTTCATCCTATATAATCAGGCACATACCATGTGTTTTTAGTGTCACTGGATGCTAATAAGAGTTTGAAAGTCACTGATCATGTACCCCGTCACCCAAAGTGGATGTGACACTGATGTCCAAGGTGACTTTTATGTCTCAAAGTCACTGCAGAACTAACGTACCTTAATGGTAACTTGGTACATTGTGACAAAATTAGCATGTAAAAATGCTTCCTCAGCATTAAAACAAGAAATAAAGGTTAAGCTGCAGAAACTCCCATGGGATTCTGTCTATAAGGACGACGGAGAGCTTTTCAAAGCGCTAGAAGAAATCAGGTCACGGGGAGGGAAAATAAAAGAGATTTATAGTCCCGTAAGCCTGTTAATTTCAGGATGTGCCGGGGATCATGTAGCCTTTTAAGCAAAGCTTGTCCTGTGGTGTACCAGAAAACACATGGACAACACGGCTGGAATTGAACTCACACACACGAGAGAAAGTTAGTCGGATTACGTCACATCTAGCAAAAAAGTTACATGGACAAGATGAATGTAAACTATAAAGGTCATTTTTACATTTTTTAGTGTTCTTTTGCTTCTTGAAGTTACATTATAAGTTCTTAAGATCAATCCACTAAATATTTGTATGTATACACACAGAATATTTTCAATCATGACAATCTCAGAATAGTTTTTGTTATTGAATATGGCAATGTTAATGTATTTGGTCTAGTCGGACTAGATCTGTTACGCTGCTGCTGTTGATTATTGCTAAGTATGGACTTACTACTGCAAATAGATTCACAGACACGCTGCTGTGAGATTATAAGATGCTGCTGCTGCATAAAAAGACATAAATCACATAGCAAATCTAGGCAGGTGGAGCTGGGGAGGTGGAGGGTCAAAGAGGAACTCTGATAATGCACTGCAATCCTATATATATATATACCCCCTTTCGCCTTCAGAACTGCCTTAATTCTACGTGGCTTTGATTCAAAAGCATTCAGGGCACAAAGCTCCCGTTCTACCACATCCCAAAGATGCTCTATTGGGTTGAGATCTGGTGACTGTGGTGGCATTTAAACAATGACCAATTGGCACTAAGGGGCCTAAATTGTGCCAAGAAAACTTCCCCCACATCATTTCACACCACCACCACCAGCCTGCACAGTGGTAACAAGGCATGATGGATCCATGTTCTCATTCTGTTTACGCCAAATTCTGACTCTACCATCTGAATGAAATCAAGACTCCTCAATTTTGGTGAGCTCTTGCAAATTGTAGCCTCTTTTTCCTATTTGTAGTGGAGATGTGTGGTACCCGGTGGGGTCTTCTGCTGTTGTAGCCCATCCGCCTCAAGGTTGCGCGTGTTGTGGCTTCACAAATGCTTTGCTGCATACCTCGGTTGTAACGAGTGGTTATTTCAGTCAAAGTTGCTCTTCTATCAGCTTGAATCAGTCGGCCCATTCTCCTCTGACCCCTTTTGCCAACAAGACAGCACTTAATCTCCTCCTATACCATTTCACAAGATTGGAGAACACAGAGAGAGGGATCTTTGACCATTCTTCTTTGCACAATCTTTCTAGATGTGGGTGGTGATGGCGCAGTGGATAAGACACATACCTTTGGTGTGAGAGTCCAGGGTTCGAATCCACTGTGAGAATACAATTTCCTGGCAGTTCAAAGCGTTCATAATGCCATGCAACCTAACAAGATTCCCAGGGCCTTTGGAGGAGAAACAGGCCCACAGCATCACAGATCCTCCACAATACTTCACAGTGGGGATGAGGTGCTTTTCGGCATACTCATCTTTTGTTTTTATGCCAGACTCTCTTAGAGTGTTTGTTGCCAAAAAGCTCAATCTTAATCTCATCTGACCAAAGCACACGATCCCAGTTGAACTCCCAGTGCTTTTTCCTTGCATGCCTCCCAAACAGCTTGTTGGCATGTAGAATCTGATGGTTGTTTTGGAGACTTTGTGACCCCAAGATGCCACTCTTTGATGCAATTCTGTGACAGTGAGCTTAGGACTTTTTAGGACCTCCTCTCTTCCTTCTCACTGTGCGTTGTGTCCAGTTGTTTTAAACTTCTTAATTGATTCCTCTCTGACTGTAGATACGGGCAAGTTAAGGCAAGCTATTTTCTTGTAGCCATTGCCTGACTTGTGAAGATCGACACACATCAGCTTACTTGAATGGTGTGTTCTCTTGTCTTTGCCATGTTGACAAATGGGTAAGCGAATTAGGCCTCTGTGTCATGTCATATTTATACCCCAGGCGAACAGGAAGTCATGAATTATAAATTTAAAAGTTCCTAGATACCCTGATCTGCAACTACAGAAAATATATATATTTTTAAAAAATCAATAAATTTTTTCAGCTGAATTTTTTTTTTTTTTTTTTTTACCACCAAAGTAGTGTACTTAAAGGGCACCTATTATGGAAAATTCACTTTTACATGGTGTTTGAACATAAATGTGTGTTGGCAGTGTGTGAGCAAAACCACCCTAGAATGATAAAAATCCACCCAGTGGTTTTTTTACAATCTCAATAAATCATATGCACCGTCTCAGAACGAGCTGTTCTGAGATTCAGCTCTTTGTGACGTAGAACGGGAGACAGGGGGTTGATTGACAGTGTGGCTGTGGCCTAGACCCCGCCCTCGGTGATCTTTACACATCATCCTCCATTACCTGTTATGTCTCTTGGAAACATAAGTGTTCTGTCGTGGACTCGTGGGTTAATCCTGTTGTTGTAGCTTAAAAGTTAATCCTCAACTGTGGATCGTCATCTACTGTTTGCGATCCACCGTCACATCCAGTAACAGTAAGTGTGTTTTATGATTTTTGAGCAAATAGTCTTTTCAGTCAATGTCAGCCAATTCAACAACAAATGCGTCTAAAGTTGTTGTCGTCGTAGGATGTCTGTGTAGGCTATATAATTTAAACCTTGTTTGTATAGTGTGTAACCACACGTTTATATATATTTAAAGATATTGTATTAAAAACTGCATATATGTTGTTGTTCTGTATGTTAGCCATCTCCTCACATTTGCCACAGAAGCACCCGTATGACAAGTAAACATGACGCCACAGGTCCCCGTCCCTCGCATAAATGTAATTTCGCTTGTACGTAGCAAACTTTATCACAGTATGTGTATGTAATTTAAAAAAAAATGCGCCAGCATTAGTGTTTATGTGTGTCTGTGTGTGTGTGTTGCACATGCCCATCATTTCAAAGGGAACACGATTACAACGCTAAAGTACATAAATGTATCAAATAACCTTACCGAGACGTACTGGTCCAGTCTCATTTATGTTTATTCTGCCGGAGTCTCTTCGTGCTATTTATATATTCCGATTCAAACGTACGCTGAATGACATTCAAAACAGCGCGTCTCTCACTCTCTCAGCCCTTCTGCTTACCGACTGCCATAGGTATCAAGTTACGCCCTCATCCAAAGGCAGGGCGGGGATATGCAGCTCATTTGCATTTAAAGCCATATACCTCCGAAACAGGTCATTTTTAAGCAGGCCCCAAAATGACATTTTCAAATGGTTATAATAAATTAACTGTGGGGTATTTTGAGCTGAAACTTCACAAATACATTATAGGGACACCAGAGACCAATATTACATCTTGTAAAAAGGGGCATAATAGGTGCCCTTTAAAGGTCGGAATTTTCTCTTTTTTGCATTTGGGTTCTATGCATCTTGTTTAAAAAAAAATTTTTTTGAAGTCCACAAACATCTTAAAACAGGGGTGCCAATAATTGTGGAGGGCACTGTATATACATATATACAGTATGTATGTGTATGTGTATATGTATACAGTGGGGCCAAAAAGTATTTAGTCAGCCACTGATTGTGCAAGTTCTCCTACTTAGAATAATGAGAGAGGTCTGTAATTTTCATAGGTACACTTCAACTACGATAGGCAAGCAGCTCAGTGTGAAAAAAAAAATCAGCTGTGAGAGAATTGTAAGAAAATGGAAGACATACAAGACCACTGATAATCTCCCTCGATCTGGGGCTCCACGCAAGATCTCATCCCGTGGGGTCAAAATGATCATGAGAACGGTGAGCAAAAATCCCAGAACTGCAAGGAGGGACCTGATGAATGACCTGCAGAGAGCTGGGACCAAAGTAACAAGGCTACCATAAGTAACACACTACACCGAGAGGGACTCTAATCCTGCAGTGCCAGGCGTGTCCCCCTGCTTAAACCAGTACATGTTCAGGCCCGTCTGAAGTTTGCCAGAGAGCATATGGATGATCCAGAAGAGGATTGGGAGAATATCACGTGGTCAAAATAGAACTTTTTGGTAAAGACTCAACTCGCCGTGTTTGGAGTAAGAAGAATGCAGAGTTGCGTCCCAAGAACACCATACCTAATGTGAAGCATAGGGGAGGAAACATCGGTAATGCTTCCTTTTACAGTCCAGTTACCCATGTAAATACTATGTACTTATTTTAGTAACTACAATTACTGGGTAATAACTAGTACTAACCCTGAACCTACCCCTGTTCCATGTACTTACCTTATACTAGCCAGTACTTTCTAGGTAAGTACACTGTAAGTACTGTACTGTAAAAGGAAGCGTTACCGAAACATCACGCTTTGGGGCTGTTTTTCTGCAAAGGGGACAGGAAAACTGATCCGTGTTGACGGAAGAATGAACGGGGCCATGTATCGTGAGATTTTAAGCCAAAACCTCCTTCCATCAGTGAGAGCCTTGAAGATGAAACGTGGCTGGATCTTACAGCAAGACAATGATTCCAAACACACCGCCCGGGCAACGAAGGAGCGGCTACATAAAAAGCATTTCAAGGTCCT